TTATAAGAAGCCAAGAACAATGTGAATCGACCAAAAGAAAAAAAAAAGCCTAATGCACAACTTAATAAATAATCTACGTAGTACAAAATTGAGCCTCTACTAAAAGCCATGTAACAATATGACATCACTGAATGATGTAAACTGCTAGAAAATTGCAAATGAACTACTGTATGCTTAGAAGTTTTGCTCATAGAGAGCTGAAGTTGTGAGACCAACAAAGAACAAGTATGAAGAATAAGAAAAACTCAATACCCAATTGATTTAGAAGAACTGCTCTGAACTAAGAAAGGGAAAGTGTGGAACAAAATAAATATCATAAGATTTATTTGCTCTCGAAGAAGTCTTTTGGAATCATAGATGTAGAAGAAGGCAGAGCTCTGAGAAAAGGAACAGCTCCGAGAAACGGAAGAGGGTGATGGAGAAGTAGAAGAATATGGATGACAATCAACTGTTAATGAAAGCTAGGGATTGAAATCAGGGCTTCTTGTAATGAACTTTTGCGTAAGTTCTGTAATTGAATGTCTGTCTGATATCAACACTCGATTTCATCAATGTTTTCATTCACACTTGAATCTTAATTTTCAAAACAGTTTTTTTTTAATTGCTCATTAAAAAATGAAAGTAGGGGCTCTAACCAGCTGATGAAAAAAGCGCAAATCATCAATGCTTTTTCTTTTTATCATGTTGTCGGTTGGACCAAATAGATTGAAAATGTAGATACTGAAAGTAGTTTGCTATTTCTTGAACCTGTGTTAAGGGGATGGGTGGACGCGCTATTACCTTCAATTAAACATATTTTCAACACAAGGAATATTTTCACTTAATAACTGTTGGACATGGAAAGGGTCCCTGCTTTTTCCATAAAGTGAAAATTGGAGGTCATTTAGGCATTGGCTTGATGATTTAGGATTCCTTCAAAACTTATTTCACTACTTAGCTGCTTTATCTTTTTAGAAAGCTGCATGACAGGGTTGAAAACTCAATTATGTCGGTGTGTCTGAGACTTTATATGTCTTTGTTGTAATTATTTTTATTTTTCACCATTGAGCATGAGACATTATAGTTAATAAATTGGCTTTTTCTGTTCTCATTTGACATCGTATTTAGTATTTTCATTGGAGTTGCTTTTCCCTCCCCCTCATTTTGGAGTTTGGACACCCAAGTTCTGTGCCATGATGACCCTATTTTATTTTTTCTCTCTCAATCCAACGGACATTACATTTGGTTAAAGTTGCTTCCCCTCCCCTCTATACCAAGGTTGTGGAATTCAGACTAGGCAATGAATCGAAAGAAAGTGATGTTCACGGTTCGACCGGGTTTTAATCGAGGTTGAACTGGATAACATAATAAATATTAAAATTATTTAAATATAATATAAATTTTGTAATAATTAAAGTTGAAAAAGTGAATACATAACTACTTTGATTAAATTTTATGAACGAGCTTGATTATGACATCATTAATGTGAATATATGAATATTATAAATATAGTTATATAGATATTAAATAGGTTTAAAAATAAAAAAAGTTTAATATTATAAATTTATAAATATAAATATAATTTTTAATAAGAATAATAATGTAATATTTAATATAATATATAAATTTATAATATAAGAAAATTATGTTCTTAATTTTTAAAAATTTTACACATTCTCCGTCTAAATTTACAGCCCAAGCTAATTTCATAGTTTACTCTCATCCATAATTTTCACAGATTTTCCATTCCACGTCATTGGAGAATTTTAAGTTATTATCTTTATATAGTGTAAAGTATGAACTATAAGCAACAAATCAAGCTGGCTGATGTTGTAGGTTGGCAACTATATATTCTGAATTCTTGTTAAATTTGTTTGCATATGCCTTTAAATTGATATTTAAACTTTAAAGTAAAAACAATTCAATAGCAACAACAACAACAACAAGGATATATATTCAGGAGTTGTTACTTATATTCAAACGGTGGTTTAACCTAGTATTTTTCCATTTTAGTTGGATTACATCAAGGATCAATCTTAAGCGCATATCTTTTTTGCTTTAGTCATTGGATGCTCTCACTAGACATTTGCAAGAGGTTGTACCCTGGTGTATACTTTTTGGTGATGATATTCTTCTTGTTGATAAGAAGAGAGAGGGAGTTGAAGATAAATTTGAATTATAGAGGCCAACCTTAGAGTTTAAATGTTTTCGTTTGAGTAGATCTAAAACCGAATATATGTAGTGTAATTTTAGTAGTAATAGATCTAGTGGGGGATTGTGACTTTGGGTCATCAAGTCATTAATAAGAGTACACATTTTAGATATCTTGGGTCTATTGTTCAGAGTAATGGTAAAATAGATGGGGATATTATTGGTAGAATTCTAGCTGGATGGTTGAAGTGGAGGAATGCATCAAGCTTGTGTAGAAAAATCCCCCTCAAACTTAAGGGAAAATTCTATAAGATGGTGAGACCTGCAATGTTTTATCGTGCAGAATGTTGGCCATTAAAAGAGAAGCAGGTGGATGTGTTGCTTTACTCTTAACAATGGACCCAAGAGATGAGGATGCTCAGGTGGATGTGTGACTTTACTCTTAGAGGCAAGATACAAAACGAGCATATATGTGAAAAGGTTAAAGTAGCTCCAATGGAAGTTAAGATTAGAGAGAGTCGCCTTAGATGGTTTGGTCGCATCAAACGGAGGCCTTCCGATGACCTGGTTAGGAGAGTAGATGTATTAGATTTGACTTATGTTAAGAAAGGTATAGGTAGACTTAAAAAGTCTTGGTTAGAAAATATTATAAATGACCTTTCTTTATTAGATTTAAATGAGAATTTATCTTTTAGCATGACACAATAGAGAAAAATGATTCATATAGCCGACCCATGTAGTGGGATAAAGGCTTGATATTGTTGAAAATTTAAATAAAAAGTAATTAAATAATATTTATTATTTAAAAAATTATTAAAATAAAAAAAAATATTTTTTGAACCGGTCAACTCAACAAAACTGGGTCTGATTTGAAGTTTTTCTAGTTAAACCAGCGGTTGAAATCTGTTCGCGCCAGTTCTAGACGAATTCAATTTTCGAACCTGATTGGGCCAGCAACTTGACCGGTTCACAGTCAAACTAGCCAGTCCGGTCCAATTTTCAAAACACTATATATTGGACACCCAGCTCTAATTCCTAATACTACCATTTATTTACTAAAGTACCTATACACCGCACTTTTTGAAGTTGCTCATATTGTGTAAAACTGCAATCGGTGTTCTGAACTTTTTGTACATTTCCTTATGGAAAATCAATCTGATCATGAGAATTGATAGTACATGTTGGCATTTAGTTTAGTGCCGTCTTTTCTCTTCCTTGCGAGTGTTTTCAGAAAATCACTCAAATTGGGACGAATGACCATTTTGGGCATAGGCAAATGACGCAAATATGCTTTCTCACAAAAATACTTAAGAGATTCCTCAATTTGGATCCAACACGTAATCATAAATTCAAAAAACGGCATCACATTTTTCATTTAGCACACTCACATTAACTTATAAATTTTCTGCTTTTAGCCATAAAAAAATTCAATAAGACTGCCAGGTGGGCTTGATTATACTCTAAATCAGCCTTCCTAGTATGGGAATTTGATTATACTCTAAATCACCCTTCCTAGTATGGGAATTGGAAATGACAGTACTGTCAACGTTGAACCTATGTTGCCTTTCTTGTTTTATGCCCACTTAGGAAGATTGGAAGCAATCAAATCTGTTATTGTTTCGTGATGTCTATGACTGTTATTGTTTCGTGATGTATATGCAGTTGACACAGAAAGGACCTAGCAGAGATGTTACAGGGCGTCCTTTAGTGACACCAACCAATGCATCCAATCCGTGGTGGTCTATTTTCAAACAAGCAATTTCTGCCTCTGGTGGGAAACTTGGAAAGCCTGAGATTCTGTCCTCAACAACTGATGCTCGATTCATGAGACAGATGGGCATCCCCACACTCGGTTTCTCGCCTATGGCGAATACTCCTGTCCTTCTTCATGATCATGATGAGGTTTGACCTTAGTTTTTCATTTAAATGCTTATGATCCTTACAAAGTTTCTCTTTCAGATTCTTACTTGCATGTTGAAATTGCAGTTTCTGAAGGATACGGTTTTCCTAAATGGTATTAAAGTTTATGAGAATTTGATCAGTGCCTTGAGCTCATTTCATTCTGACGTCGGAGTATAAGGCCATTTTAGGCTTTGTTTGGGACGGCTTTTTTGTTGCTTCTTGAAGCCTTAGTTATACTTATCAGCCACTGCTGCGGTCTTCATATTTTATCACGATTAACAGACTTTAGATTAAAGGAATGATGTACAAGTATTTCTTGTATAGTTGTAAGATGCAAGTGAAGCCATGATTGCAACTGATACTGTAGTTGCTGTAGTTACGAGCTTCAACCCAGCTAACAGCCACCACCTTCTCCCAGTTAACCTTGGAAGCTGAGGGCACAAAGTTATGGACTCCTGTTGTTTGGTTCAACTGTGGGTGTAGTATTCAGCTCTGAAGGTAAAAGGATGTGCTTTTATTTCTGTTTATAAGTTATGATAATTCATTAAAAATTTTAGAGTGCTGTAATATGTTGTGCGCTGTAGCAATCACCTTTTTAGTTTTATTTGATTCTGCAGAGTTGATTCCCAGAATTTCTTGTACGCATGTAATATTTAAGATAATCTGAAAGAAGAAATATGTAGTTGTTGTGCTTAGCTTCATATTATTTAAACTTCTATTTCTTTATTGTATTTACTTCCGGTTTGAAATTTGGAACATCTTTTTTACTACCTTATGGGGCTGTTTGATAGCACTATAGTCGTAAATCCTTTAAATCCGGATTTCGGAAATCCTGAGGGGCCTGTCTTGAAAAATGTTTGGTAACATTTATGATAAATCATATTAAATCCCATGTGACTATTTGACTATAGAACGAATTTAGCGAGCATACTCTTCCTCTGTAATCAATGGATTTCGTAAATCTGGCAAAATATAGGATTTCGGAAATCCCGGATTTAGCACAAAAAGGTGAAGTTTTCCGTCTACAATAGCTTTCATTGCCGTGAGATTTGATTTTACATTTTTAGGTTGTTTGGCTTGATTTCGCTCAAATCCGGCCTAAATCCGTTTACCAACATCCCCTATGTATTTTTTATATTCGGAATACCTTAATAAAAAATCATGTCATATCCTAATTCACCCTTGAAGCATACGAGTCCCTTTATCCCTCTCTCGGTGGCTTGCAGGCTTGCAGCTGGTCTTCGCCCCTCTTCACCCTCACGCGGACACCTACTTCTGTATGCAAAACGTCCCAACTTACTCTATTTGCTCGTGCTCCATGCAAACCTCTAAGCCAACCTTCCCATGCTAACCCATCATATGCGCTTGAATATAATGGAAGATCTGAAAGACGCCGCAACGTATTATTGAAACTTATCTCTCTTCTATTTTATTCAGAAACATTCATATTTTTTGTCACGACAATCCTTCACATAAACTATACTCTCACTCCCATACTTCACCTCTCGTCTTCATATGAACAAACTATGATTGGGTGCAATTGAATTTTTTTGGTAAAACATAGTCTAATAACCTTATTAACTTGCATAAAGCTTGGTTAGTGGCTAAATATTTTCGCAATAGCCAAGCACATGTAGTGATATGAGTGGTTCTTAGCATAGTTGTTTGATGGTCCCATCAACTCCCGATATCAATAATGTCTTTCTCTAAGGGCATCTTTCCAAGGAGTTTACCGAGACAAATCATTATTGTGTGTATGAGTTTATCTACACGAACTATTATATATGTGTGGGTGTACGTGTCATATCAATATGTCGGATAACTTTGATACTATCATGCAATGCATTGTCATTCTTCTTCCTCAAGGAACTTGAACTAGTGCACTATGTTCTTTGTTGTCAAAGTTGCTCCCACTCAATCCTCTCTTATATCTGTTGATGTATCCTTGACTTGATCTCCTTGCTTGCACTAATATAATGTATGTTTCACATGATGTCATTGAATTCTATCTTACCAATGTGTAATCCTTATTCTGGGTTTACACTCACAAATCTAATTAATTACAAAACTATTGTAGGGAATTCGTATTGATTAGCTGTTACATGTTAGCACAACATTCACAATAAATAATGTCTAATCGTATACACTGTCCATTACCGACGGTTGAATTACATCGAATTAACTATTGGGCTTTCTATGTGACATTATCCATCTCATCATTTTTCTTCATTATTACTCACCACTTCAATTCCAAGCATTCTTTGATAAGCGATGAGTGCCTACATAGTGTATCTTTGTCAAAACCCCTTTCCTTCAACAAATGTTAAAAAAAAAAAAAAAAATAATAATAATAATAATAAATAAATAAAATAAAATAATACAACGATGTTGCTTTCACAACTATTTAGTTTTACCGTGTCTTCTCCCAACTAAATAAACTTAATATTAATCTTTCTTAGAATGATTTTCTTACTACTTCTTAAAACAAATTTTAAGTTAAAAAAAATTGTTTTAAAAAGCAGTAAGAAAGCTGTTCCAAATGAAGCCTCAATATCTTGTGATTTATTGTGATAATGTGGGTGTTTTTCTATGAATTTAATCTTTCATTCACAAATGAAACATAAGGCTATTGATTGAAATTTTATTTGAATATCAGTCCAAAATAATTTTCATGTAGCCCATAAAGCATTTGAGAATCACCTGATAGATATTATCACCAAATCATTTATGCATGCTCACTTCTCTTTGTTAGGTATCGAGATTGGACTCTTAGATCACAGTTCAATTTTGATGATATATGTGAAAAAAATAAATGCGTAATTACTATAATTAGTTAGCTTCATATATTATTAAGAGGCCCATGTGTTAATTTTATTTTTTATAGGTGTTTTCAACTTATATTTGTAATTAAAATACCTCTCTTTTACATCATATTTATGTGCATACATTTAAATTATTTTAATTAAAAAAATATAGTTTTTATTCAAATCTTCCACAGACAACAATTTTATCGCTATATGTATCATAGTTTTTTCCTCGCCATTCTCTCGATAGGGCTATGGATCAATTTTAAGGTGAATGTTTCTAAACATTTCTATGAGCCATTCTTCTGCGATTTCAAGGGCGACATTATGTGAAATTTAGATTTCATTTGAGACGATTTTTTTATTATTTCTTAAAACAGTTTTTTATTATGAAAATTAAAAATTTTATACTAGAAAACTGTTTTAAGAAGCAATAAGAAAGCCGCTCCAAACGAAGCCTTAGATTTTGTTTGGACAATTTTTTTTTACTTTTTAAAACAGCTTTTTAGTACAAAATTTTATAGAAATTTTTGTACTTGAAAACTGCTTTAGAAAGCAATAAAAAAGTTATCTAAAAAAACCTCAGGATTAACTTCCATGAAAGTTTTGAAAATATGTAATTCAGTTGAAAATCTATTACCAAAAGTAGAAAACTTTTTCATTTAAATTAATTAAGTATATAATATATTAAGCAATTAACCATAAATTATAAGAAGCAGTAAAGAGATAAGTATAAGTGCATAAGCACAAATTTGACATTGATATGATTCACATTCAGGATATTGATAATAATTTTAAAAAATTTTAACATCTAAATATATTATTGACTTAAAAAGGTGAATTATATGCATATTGTATAATTTTTTTATATATTTAATATTTAAATTATTATATTTATTTTTGACTCTTTCTGTTTGTGTGTTGGATATTCGGGCATCGCTAAGACAAAAAATTTACTCACTCTACTGCCACGAATCTTTCAGACCGCAACAATTTTTATAATATTTAAATATTTAAGCTATGTTAAAACATATGCATAAAAATGTATATTTATTATTTTATTTTAAATAAAATAACGCTAGTGATTTTCTTATGGAATTAACGATCATGATTTCAGATCAAGATTTTATATAAATAAATATAAATTTTTAGATATTAATTACATAAACAGAAAAATTTACGAACTTTTTAGGCCTCGTTTGATAAGGCTTTTTTTCTCCGTTTCCGTTTGAATACGCCGAAATCAATTAGTATTTACTGTTTGGAATCAAAGCTTAACAATAATTCCTTTTTAATAAACATCATTTTTTTGGCGGTTACAAAATTCTTTTCATATCCGTTTCTTCGGTCACAAAACGGAGTTTCGGAAGCGAATTACTGATTTAAAATTAATTTCAAGTATTAAATAATAAAATCTCAAAAGCAGAACTCCTAAACAAACAATTTAAAATTACTTTTAAGTATTAATAAGCACTTTTAAAAATATTAGTCAAACATATCTCATTATTGAAACTCCATTTTATTGAACGACTTTTTCTCAACCTCATTTTCTAAAACTCCTTTTTATATAAACATAAACCAAATCAAGCCTAATCAGTGCTACCAAGTGCTAACATTTTCGAAAGGATCTAGAATCGGCGCGACGCTGTTCCAGACGGAGAGAGAGAGAGAGAGGGAGAGAGGGCGCGTGCCTGCTCAAGCGCTTGAGTGCTGGCGTCCAAAACGTAGCGATTCAAAGGAGGTGAGTTAGAAAATTTGCTAATGGGGAAGAAAGGAGTGCCGGAGTGGCTGAACAGCTCGCTCTGGTCTTCCAAACCCTATACCGATGGCCCCCCTATCTACGCCTCGGAACCGGCAAAACCCGAGTCCCCACCACGACAACGATCACCGCAGCCGCCACAGCCGCCACAGCCGCCGCCGTCACCACCGAAGCTGGAGCCGCCGGCATCGTTTCAGGGTGATCACGGTTCCCCGAAGTTCTCACCTGAGGAAATTTCGCGTCAGTCGCAGATCTTATCCGAGGTGAGGATTGTTATTAGGGTTTTTCGTCCTCTGTTCATCTCGATCACCTTTTGTGTCTCGGTTTGGCTTCTAAATTATTTTAGTTCATCCTTTTGCATCAGCTTTCAAAGAAGGTTATAAATATTGGTGAGTTGCGAAGATTAGTTTGTCAGGGTATTCCGGATGGTGCCAGAATACGTCCCACTATATGGAAGGTCTGGACCCAACTCCTTCATTATTTTTTTTTTCTGATGCATAAACATAAATAGTTATAGAATTTCCATTTCCAATCTTTGGTAACTTCCTTCTATAAAATTTGTGGTTATACCAGTTGAGCAGTGCTCCATTGGAGGGATTTTAGCTTTGATTTTTTTTTTTTCTGATTTAGATATGATAGGTTATGCCAGTAAAATTCTATCATTCAGAACAACCATTATTAGCTTATGTTTCAGAAGAAGAAAATAAAATGCATGTCCCATGTCACCATTGATGTCCAAATTTAATTGCCTTATAGCTTGGTAAAGCCTGGAAGTCTTAATTTCTGCTGTTCCAACTACCCCTAAGGAACCAATAAGAGTTAGTCAAAAACTTATATACATCTTTTAGCAAAAATCCTTGTTATTTCTCTTTTTCCATATCACACAACAATTTTTTGTATAAAAAGCACCAAAGCCCCTCAATAATGAGTTTATTATGGTTCTTTCTCTTTTTTCTTGTTTAAGTTAAAATGAATGGAATTGTAAAGTTCGGCACAGGCTGCACGGCTTTATTCTTTGATAATATATTTGACTTTACGTATGTTCAGTGGTATTTCATAGCATTTTGGGCCTTGAAGGTTGAAATCTTTGATTTTATGATATAGAATCATAGAGGGGCAGAGAGGTGTTCAAAGCATGGCAGTAAAATAAACTCATAAGTTGTATTTAAACTATGATGAGGAATACACTACTTGTTCAGATGTGTGTAGTTAAAGCATATGGTGAGCATTGATCACGATTCTGATGGTAGAATATCTATTTATTTTAATTTGTTAGATTACCAAAGAGTTTTTTTGCAACCCTTATATTTGATTGTAATGGTGCCAAAATGGGTTTTCACGTTGGGCTTGGGTCCAATCTGAAATTGACCTACTTTTAATATGCTTGACACGTTTATCTAAACGGGTTAAAATCTCATACTCGAACACAGTCAGCCACCAACCCAACCCGACACGACTTGAACTGACCTGCTAACTTAAAACGAAAGTTGCACTGATGAAGAGTTATCACGTGGGCGTGTACAACTCGTTTAAGGAGGATTGAGCCAGGTAGAGTGAAGAGGGAATGTGCGTCAGTGCCGATCGTGAGGAGCTTGAGCTTCTTTTCGCCATCATTGTAGAGAGAAGGGGCGGGTTGGTGGTTGAGGTCAAGGAAATCGGAAGTGTTGGCGGAGAAAGAGATGATTCAAGAGGGCTTTTTGACAGCGAGGGTGCAGCCGAAGGGTTGGATACTTGGATGTGGCCATTGCATTGAATCTTTGGAGAGATAAGCGGTGATGTTGTGGTGTTTGGGAGAGGCAAGGAAGGTGGAGGAGGAGGAGGAAGGGGTGAGTATGGATTGTGAATATTTCCAAGAAGCGAGCTCCACCGTTGGTTTGATGATCTTCTTCGCCTTCTTCGACGGTTCTTCGCCTCCTTCAGTCAACGACGACATGAGCTTGCTCAATGCGATTTTTTCTCCCATTTTGCACGCTTCTTCGGCCAAATCATGTAAATCCGCTCGATCCAGGTCAGCACCGGGTTAACTCCGGGTTGGCGGGTTGACCTGAACTCGACCCATTTATTAAACGGGTCAAATTTCTAGACGCGAACCCCAGATGTTTATTAAACGGGTCTACCCGAACCCGAAATTTCCAAGTCGGGTCAAGTTTTGACACCCCTATTTGATTGAGCTCATTTTTTAAACTTCTGGTAGCACTGTTGTATATATATATATATATATATTCTTTTGCATTAGATTTGGTCTAAGATTGATGCTTAGATAAATGCCAATCTGTGGATTATTGCAATGCTTAGCTTTCCCTTTATCTTTGGATTCTTATTCTTATGTTTCTTGACTGTACTTACTTCTTGATGCTGTCAACAGTTTTATCATCTATTAACCTTATCAATTTTCTACGAACTGCCTATACCTGATCTTCTATTCCCCATGACTTCTTCATTTCATGAACTTGCTGATTGCTCCTTTTTTGCTGCCTATTTGTAGTGTCATTCACCACAAGAAACGAGGTCTTCCACGCCTTGCTGTTCTCTTATGTCTTTGATTGATCTAGATCAGTAGTTGTGGATGTGTTACTATCACAAACCACGCCCAAACTGAGTGCAAATATTAAAAAAATTAATTATAAAAAGAATAAGGATGAAAAGATGACAAAATGGATGAACGAAAGTAACCTGAGAAGAGTTAAATTAACATGCTGTAATTTCACCATTTTTTTAAGCCTCGCACTTATTAAGAGCGCACCACATCCAAGGAAAAAACATTCTCACTGTAGAAAACACTTAATTTATATTTCGTATAACTTTGCAGTAAAATGGAAGATGGTTCATAGGGTTAAAACTTGCAAAGGAGTCCTAAAGGAATATCTAAAATCTTGGTAGATGGTCCATACAGTTATGCATTTTGAATTCTTTAAACAAAGCTTGTATATCGTAACTTGAAGGCAACAAACCTTGTTTTTAGACTGAATCAGGAAAACAAAGATATCTATTTTCTAGCATTGAGGATGTAAATTTCCTGCATATCTTATGCTAGGTATTATCCTTTGTTGGCATGCAATGTACAATATGTATCATGATTAAAGCAAACTGTTTGTTTCTTTGACATGTAGGCACATTTACTTATATATACGCATTTGTTAACACCATTTAAAAGTTCCAATTACAGAATGAAAAAATATTAAAACCCTCATTAAAACTAACACAAAAGTAAAATAATAATGAACACAACTAGTTTGCGGTTCTCATGAAAAGGCAGCTGTAGACTTGGAACTCAACTTTACCCCTCTGATTGGAAAAATTGACTCTAATAGATGGCACTTTCAGGCTTCTTAACATCTTTACGCATAATTACTGATACTCCTTTACTTGTGCACATGAATTTCCAGATGAAAGTCTACCTCTCTGCTTGACAATGTATATCTATAACCCTTCATTACGTGTAGAAACAATGTGCTTTCCATGGATGCCCTAAGGTTGTGCTTCTTGCTGCTCTAGATGTCGTTTTGGTGAAGGCAGTCCGTGTGTTTGTGGTGAGGGGCATTATTAACGTTAGGGATGAAGAAAGAGGAAGAAAAGTCTATGAATGAACATTGGTATGTGGCTCATGAAAAGTGATGCCGTGTACATTGAAATTTTGGTTAATTTGTTTTAACTTCAATTCGCAAGCAGTAAGTTGTACAAAATTTCTTTTTTATAGCCAACTTCTTAGAAGTTTCTTAGCGGATCTCTCTAATTGTTGTGAATCATTACTCTGCATATATATCCTCAAGTTCTTGGTTTATTCTAAGTGTGTCCTGCCAATTTGTCTTTATCATAGCTAAAAGCACACTTTTTGATAGTTTTTATCTGCAAACCTTTTGATATGTTATACTAAAACAATCCTGGTGTAGATTTAGGTGGCAATTCAACTAAATCATGAGCTTGCTGTCCTGAAAACCAATGGACTCAACTGGTCTGTTGCCAACCTTTCAACGTTATTGTATGAGCCCAAAGTATTTTAGTAATTTTTTGGAGGTCCCTCTTGATTTATCAATCAATTAAAGATATCTTTAGTGCTTTTTTCTCACTGTAGAGGACTTCACTTGGCTATTTTCTCCTCCTAATTGCTGTAGAAAATAAGTTTTTTTCTTTATCTTTTTGAGTTTTTTTTTCCACTGGGCAGCAACTTGTTTGCTGATTTCTCCTTTTAAATTATTGAAAACAACATCCCCAAACTCCTATTTTCTGCTGGACGGAAAACAGTCCGTGAATACTTCCTTGCACGTTCTCTAGATTTTCTCCTGGATTCAGCCAGAGGTTTCTTTTCCGGTTTCTGAAACAGCTAGCAGAAGAGAGTAGCTTCAGCCAGCAAAAGAAAGTACCCAGTGGCAGAAGCAAAGTAGTTTGCAAGACAAAAGAGGACCATGGCAAGGTGTTATCTGAATTTGCAACACAAATGGAGGTCTACATTAACCTTGCAAGGCAGTTGCAAAGCTAGGCAGGTAATGGCAGGGCAGTGCTACAGTATCCGGGCATTTTAGCTGATTTCTGTACTGCAGTGAAGGCAGCCACATGGAGAGAAAAGGGGAAAGAAAAATTATGTTTGGGAGAATTTATTTTGCATTTATTGCGGAAATATAGCCTTTAAATTGGCAAATTATATCAATTATAGATCTAATTCATTCCTAAAAAACTCCAATGAAGAGGAAAATCCTATCTATAATAAGAACTTAGATGAGTTCAAATTAAACAATAATTTTTGCAAGAATTATCCTAAGATGGATTTAAATTCAACTACAAATTTATCAAACAAGCTAAAAAATTTAAATTCATCCTCATCTTGCTATAATATGAAACTTGATCAAGTGGTCCAACTTTTCTATTATTGATCTTCCTCATCTGATTTCTCATTAATGTTCTGTTCATGCCTACGAACTTCTGGCGGCTTCTCCTTTAATCTCAACCTGATGATCTGTAACTCATCTCTGTCAATAATTTTATATAAATATCAGTTCATTAAAACTTCAACAAACATGGTCTCTTTTATTTTTCAGTAATATGATGACCAAATCATGATCATTGGCTCTCTTAATAGATATGATCCCAAATCACGAGTCCTTTTTATGGGTTTTTTCACTTGTGAAATCATAAATTCGTAAGGGATATGCTTAACTTTTGAATCTCTTAACTCTGCCATGTTATGGTGTTTGTAAACTGATCTTTTAGAAAATTTTTAGGTTAAGTTTTTGAAAATTCTAAAAGTTTTTATATTCATTGAGTCTGGCTAGCTTTTCATCTTTTGGAGCCTTCTACATAGTCATACCATTGGTGTGCTGCTTGGTTTGATTTTTTTCTATGTTATGCCTTCTCTTGGAAGCCTTAGGAGAAGGCAAATGAAGTACCCAATAGCCCATTAAGGTGAGCTCTTGGTTTTCCCCTTGTATCTCTTCCTGTTTCCCTCCTTCCTCCCTAATCGCCGATCAACCCCTCTTCCCCTCCCTTTCTCAGCCAACTACCCCTTTCCCTTCCACCACCAACGGCAAGCCCACCAACATCACCTCTCCATCCATGTTCTCAATACAATTTTTTCTAAATTTGAAAATTTGACCTTTGGGATTCCAATTGGACCCCACTTGTCTCTTGGAACTCTTCATGTTAATTAATGGGCAGTTGACCCACTAATTGCCTTTCCTTATTTTCATTTTCAAAATTAGTTGGAAATTGGAAAAGCCACAACCCTTTCCCTTTCCCCATGGTTGGCACACTCTTGGAACTCTTCATGTTAATTAATGGGAAGTTGACCCATTAATTGCCTCTCCTTTTTTTTTCATTTTCAAAATTAGTTGGGAATTTGAAAAGCCACAACCCGTTCCCTTTCCCCATGGTTGGCCCACCCTTGGAACTCTTCATGTTAATTAATGGGAAGTTGACCCATTAATTACAAAGTTCATTTTTTTCTTCCCTCTCCCAAAACTACTTTTCTATTTTCCAATCCCACTATCTCCCATTCCCCTAAGCCCCACCACTCTAATTAACCTCACATCATTCCTATCCCCCAAATAGCAAAAATCGTGGCCTCCCTCCTAGATTTCGGCCAGCATCTTTTCTTCTCCACTGTGAAGCAAGACACAAGGAAGGCACTACAAAGCAACCCTTTGAAGATCAACCAGCCGAGACCACACCACATCTGAAGGAAGCTTCCATGAAGCGCAAATATCAAAGTCTTTCTACTCTTACTTCATACATTTAAGTAGATATCTTTGAAGTCCAATTCACTGTGGCATCACTATTTTTATGTTAATTAAATCTGCTAGCTTCTTAAATCATTGACTGCATGGTTCTTGTAGTGATTAATCTATGTTAAATGTTGGATCCTTTTTGCCAACCCATGTTAGCTAAGTTATTGATTTGATTTATCCTTCTTGAATTCTAGAACTTTGGTTGTGGTTAATTGCTATATGTGGAATGTCTTTCTTATTGGTTTTGAACCTTGTTTTATGCATCCCCATGATTAATAGCTTGTTGATTTTAAATTCAACTTGTGTTTAATTTCATAATGCATGTCTTCACATGCTAGTCCTACATCACATATTCATCTCACCGATGTAGGCCTTGGTGATTACAAATTTTTCATTGAGACCATTCTTCATCCCTAGCCCCTTTCAAGTTCAATCTAAATGATAAAAAAGTAGTCTGGGTAGAATATCCAACAATAATTTTTGCATCATATTGACACAAATGATGTTCTTCTTGCTTATAATATTGATGGTGGTCTTGATCACTTCTTGCTTTATCTTGGATTTTAGAGTGAAAATCTTCTCTCATGTTCCCATATTGAAGTAAACCTTGCCACAAGTGAGAATCAATCACTGAAGAAAAAACCTAAGGCACACAAACATTGTATGGTTGTGGTATGGTGAGGTTGTAAGCGATGTCTCCTCGTTATCTTTGTATACAACACAGGGTTGCCAATATTTTCTACTTGCAGGCCTACTTCCAAGTATGTGTTATGTTTGTTAAATTTTTTACACTTCGAAAGCATTTTATCATCATCAAAGTGTATCAGTGGAGCTAACAAATATATGGTGTAATTGTTAAATTTTTAAATGATGCTTTTTTTTTTCTATAATCTAAAAGCACACTTTTGGATGTATCTTTCCCTCTTTTGTATTTCTTGTATTTATTTTATACATTGTGCTAATTTAATAGTTCTTTAAGATAGTTAAGCTTCTTCTACATATCTTGTGCGCTTGCTTGTGTATGTTCTTTACAATTATCCTATTTTTGTTTGATTATATATTCTTACACCAAATCATTTTAGCTTGATTTTGTTCGTACTTCCATCAAGTAGCGATACTATTCTATCAGTCAGTTTAATTTTCTCTGCATCAACATATTGCTAAGTGACAACTACTTTTCTCTGACGTGTGTTTCGGTATTGCTTGATTACATGTGTAGAAACTAGTGTATCTTTTCCTATAATATTTGGAGGAAAGTAAGCGATAAGATTACCACTGTTTAGCATTAGTTAATTGCTAATGAGACAACTACTTAAATTTAGAGTGCATGTTAACATGCACACCGCAATTTTCTACTGTTCCTTTTTTGCATGTTATTCAACATTAGATTTATGGATATAGTTTTTTTTCTCTTTGAATGTTTAACCTTTTTGTACCCAAGATGGATTGTATAACTGTCAACTCTGTTAATTGTTCTGTGGAAATTTCTGTAGGCATTCTGGTTGTAGGTAGAAATGGCAACTCAAGTTATTTTGTGTGGTGAGGTTGTAAGTGATGAGAAGTTTTTTATAATATTAAGTGCCACTAATGCGAAATGGGGCAATGAAATAAGAGAAATTGGAACTCATAAGGAGAGAGAGGATAATAGAGGAGGTTTTAATTTCGATTCAACAATCAATTGATCTAAATTCCATTAATTCGTATGTCTATAAATAAGGTTACAAAGATAAGATTTAGTGTTTTGAAATATGGTCTAATTTTAAATAATTCAATATTCTAACATAATATTATTCAAAAAGAATAGTTAATGCTAATTTCAATTAACACAAATTTATAAATCTTAATTTAAATAACTACAATAAATTCTGAAATAACCTAGTGTTCCATCAATTCCTTTGGGCTTAATAAAACTTTTCTCCTTAAAGAGTTATATGAAAGCCTTTTGCTTGAAACTCTGGTGGTCATGGTGTTGAAGATGGATGAGGTAATTCATGATCATCCTTTAGATGTTCAACATAAATGTGTTGTATGTAGAAAATAAAATGCAAATGCTTTGGACTCCACCACGCTGTACGAGTCCTCTTTCAATCCATACCATAAAAATTCAGTACGTAGGCAAGTGATATGGTACTGCGAATGACAAAGTTAAGAAATTGACGAAAGCTTTTATAAAAAAATGATGCAAAGTAGTGTAACTAAATAGAAGAAACCAAAATCCATTGGGAGATAGGAAGAGAGGAGAATTTATTTTCAATTCAGTAATAAATTAATCCAAAATGCAAACTAGGAATTTCTATCTATAGAAATTGGGATTACAAAGATAAGGTCAGCTGTTTCAAAATTAAATCTAAATCATGTAATCCTGAATAATTTAAAATTCAAACCTAATACTACCCTAAAAATAATTATTGCTAATTTCACATAAAGTATATCCATAAATCCTAATTTAATGTAAGCCTGTAAGGTAATGAAATAAAATTTTAAATATCCTGAACCTTATTTCTTGTTTTGCATGTGCTGCCTTAAGTATTTTGTGGTGTAATTTCATTTTGGAATATTCCTATTTATTGTAATTTGAAAGTTGCATCTCGTCATTGGATATCAACTTTAGTTTTCATGTGATGAACAGCTTCTCTTACAATATTTACCAAATGATCGTGCATTTTGGCCACACGAATTGGAGAAGAAGAGGTCTCAATATAAGTCTTTTAAAGATGAGCTTCTTCAAAATCCTGTACGTCCTACATACAATTTTAGCATCCTAGATGTTGATATTGGCTTTGAGTATGATTTTAGAAATTTTGCTGATTATCCTATGGTCGTATATAGTATTTCATTATTTGTATGAAATTTTTATTGAATTGTTTGGGGTTCTAAAAGTTTCTTTTCTAGTCAGTCAGATATCACGCGTAGGATGGATGAATCAGCTCATGTTAAACATGCGGTGTTGAATGATGAATCCAGGGCCTTGCTTCAAAGGTCAGAAATAACTCACGGAGAACATCCTCTTAGCCTTGGATCAACTAGTGTATGGAACCAATTTTTCCAGGTATTCTTTATTTTTTTTGTGTTTTCAAATTTTAATTGAAGTTTGCAATAAATTGCATTATTGTTTCTGAGGACATATTTATTATTGTAGTGCTTTGTGGTTATATGTTATGTCTTAGAAGCAAAATCTGCGAGAGAACATAACACAAACAGCAACAGAAGAAAATTGAGATATGGTGGAAAATTTAGGGATTACTACTTCTACACAAAATTAAGAGATAATGATCAACAATTCGAGAGATAGATCAACTCATCCAAATCACCTAGACGTCATTAGAAAGCCTTCAAAGAAATAAAACTACGACAAAAATCAATCACACATAATCCCCCATAAACCCTAGAATCATCCTTAAATAAGCTCCCTTAATTCCCCAAAATAGCTCTCTTGCCTTACTTAATTCTCTCCCCTCTTTTGAATTCAAATTCCCTCATTAATTCTTTCCTTAATCCTTTTCTTTATATATGGAATTATTTGTTTGTTGGCCCCACAAGGGGGACTGAATCCTCTCTCCGTTTCTGTTTACTTGGCCCGGTTCAAAGGAACCGGGTGACTGGCGTAACGCCCACGGGCGTAACATTATATAAGCAACATATTTCTTATTCATGAGTTGGTGAAATTTATACATGATGTACCCCTTGATGAATTGTATAACTTACACAATGTTGCCGCCATTTATTTGTTGCTTGCATCAACTTTCACCGTAATCACATTTGAGAGAGCCTGAAGCCTCATACATTGTATATAACCTTTTTGGGAGCAGCCCCAGAATGATTAGGTTGCTTCAATACAGTGTTCCTTTATTCTTAAATTTATGCACCTGAATTACTTTTTAAATGCGCCTAGAGTTTTATCAGATAGTAGTTCTTTCACGGTTCGATATAACATGACTTGTGGTGACGTTAAAATTCATATGAAACATTGTCCGCCTTTATATGTATCTCTGCTATGCATGTTGCTTGCAGTTACTGGCATGCACACATCAGTTGTCTATTGGCAACTCTCATAACTTCGTTTACACTTTCTGTCCGATTGAGAACAGAAGTGAGCTTTCCATTTAATTTTGAACCACATGAGAAAGGAAATTGTTATCGGGTACATCTCTCCTATAACGTTTGTAAAAAAAGCATTGTCTTATTGCTTTTGAACTGGGAATCTGAAAAAATTTACAGAAATTTTTTTTCTTCACTTTACAATCGATGATGTCTTGAAGAATTGAAATATGCTTAAGCTTTTCTGGCTTGTCAAGCTTGGTTTTATGAACATTGAAGGGTACTTTAAATTGTAGGAGGCTGAAATTATAGAGCAGATTGAGCGCGATGTAAAGCGTACACACCCAGAAATGCAATTCTTTGCAGGGGATTCTTGTTTTGCAAAAACTAATCAGGTATTTTTCTGGTTTCATTTGTTATTAATTCTACTTGCTGCATTATTTTACTGATTTGTGTATATCTTTTTTAGGAATCTTTGAAGCGCATTCTTATCGTGTTTGCAAAATTAAATCCGGGCATCAGATATGTGCAAGGGATGAATGAAGTTTTAGCTCCGTTATTCTATGTTTTCAGGAATGATCCCGAAGAGAATAATGTTGTAAGTTGCTTTAATTCACACTGCTCCTTTTGGGAAGTTTGACAATCTTATTTTTATATTTTCTTTTTATTTTTGTTCATTTTAATATTTTCATTTGAAACGTACATTTTCTTTTACTCGTTCATAGTTTGAAGTCCATTTCTGGTACATATATGTCTGCATAATTTTGGCGATCTCCCAACTTAGGTGGTTTCATATTAACATTGATTTTGTATTATATTATCATGAAGAATGCAACTTATCATCTTTACTGCCAACAATGTTATGACTACATGGAATTGCTACCATATGATTTGAATGCTTCATGACTCAAAGAATGAAGAACTATTAGAGAAGTAGAATTTTTTAATTATGTTAGGAACAATTTAAATTTAATGTATGATGTCCTACATGCAGCCAAAAATAATATGGTTCGCTTGTGTGATGGACCTAGTCAAGAATTGAAATAGTAGAAACAAATAGATGGTACAAGGCATCTTAGGGTTTGGGGTGCCTTAGAGTTTTAAGTTTATACCACCAATCTAGTTTGAGATGTCTAAAAAGCATGCAACACTTCCAAAACTTCGTCGTCCACACTATTAATTTTAGCAATTAATAATTTCTCGCAATGAAAATTGAAAACATGAATAATTTCAATGCATATATAATGATTCAATTGCTTTCTTCTAGAAACAATGTGTACAAATTCAAAAGCATAGAAAACACTACAGCTAATTGAAAATCTTGTCTTGTACAAAATCTGATGGTATCAAGTTTGATTAAAATCAATCACCCATTTAAACTATTTATAGATTTTAGATACAGAGAATGTGTGCTGACACATGACACTGGATGTAGGAAAGTAAAGAATAATCTACAGATAGGAAATCAAATAAAATGAAAAAAAACTGACTAAATTTTGATGAATCAAGTCTTATTCTTGATCAGTAGAAGATATCACTCCTTGAAATTAAATCTCCCACTTGATTTGTGGAAGCAATACCACATTCATAGAAATTATTTTGAAAAAAAGGATGATTTTTGTGCAAGCAATAGACCCATATATGTGATAAAAATTTCTAATAAAAAACCTTGCCAATTAATCTAGAAAGATTATTGATCCGTTGCACATTCCAATAAAAATTTCACAAATCTCGCAAGAAGGCTTTACAAATCCGTCATAAAAGTCGGTAAAATCCTGCTATAATATAAAAGATTTTGATATTGCACTCATAAAAGATAAGATAAAACTTGCAATATATTTCCAGTAGCTTCCTTAACTTCTACACATATCTCTAATTGATATGCATCAAATTTATTCAAAGAACCCTTCAAAAACTTTCTTCATCAATCTATTAGATGTTCTATCATTTGCAACACGCAACTATGCTCCACTCATTTAATTTTTTTGTAGCCTTCTTACTTATATGAGTCAATTACGGAGGCCCAATGTTGTTGGTCAATTTAGTTGTGTGATTTTGGCTCAAGTAGCCTATTCATCGCTTTGTATGAAATTTGGTGACGTGTTGTGTGCCATCATCTTTGTTTATTTTAGATAAGAATTAAATTCTTTTGCATTATTCATTGATAATCGCTTGCCAAGTTTATGAATAAAACTTCAATTTAATCAGTAGGGGGATGGAGATTTGAGAATTTGGAATCTCTCGATCTCAAATGAATCGTTGAATTCTCTCCTTCAAGTCGAGCATAGTACAAAAAGGTTGAAGAGCCAAATTTGTCCTAAGATCTATAAGGTGTCCTAGGTGGATAATGGAACCCCTACTCTTAGGTGGGCCACTAAATCCTTTATCTATGTCAATGGGTAGAAGATGAATCCATAATAAGGATGGAGAAAATTGAGATGGGTTGGGAAGAAAAAGCAGCAGAGCAGAATAAGGCTTCGTTTGATCCGGTTTATGCTTACATAAAAAGGAGTTTTAGAAAAGGAGGTTGAGAAAAAGCCGTTTAATAAAATGTAGTTTCAATAATGAGATATGTTTGACTAATATTTTTAAAAGTGCTTATTAATACGTGAAAGTAATTTTAAATTGTTTGTTTAGAAGTTCTGCTTTTGAGATTTTATTATAAAAGACATAATTCGCTTCCGAAACTCCGTTTTGTGACTGAAGAAGCAGATACGAAAAGAATTTTGTAACCGCCGAAAAAACAATGTTTATTAAAAAGGAATTATTGTTAAGCTTTGATTCCAAACAATAAATACTGATTGATTTCGGCGTATTCAAACGGAAACGGAGAAAAAAGCCTAATCAAACGAGGCCTAAAATAACATGTAATATGTATAGAGATTATGCACAAACGTTTATGCAAAATTGGTTTAACATAATATTAAACACTCAATGAAAATGAATTGAGAAGAAGTATTCTTAAAGCCATCCCCACAGGATAAAGTTAATGATGATGTTAATGAACTTTTCTTTTTTTATATTCATCGTAGAGAATACATGTTATCATAATGCATGATTATGAATCAACAATGATTAACTAGTTTTGACTCATATGAAAGTCATTTAAATATGACTTAAAATATACCAAGGCATTTTATGTTCTTGTTAATGCATCTCTGTTGACAACCCGTATTGTACTTCTTGTTGTTCACTTAGGCTTCTTGAGCATTAAGAATGCTCGACTTATTTTGGCCTGCACTGTAACCTATTTTGGTTGTGCATTACTATTGTTTTAGATATTACGGGTCTATTGTTCAAAGTGATGGTGAAATAGATTGGGATACTATTATTAAAATTCAAGTTGGATGGTTGAAGTGGAGGAATGCATTACGTGTGTTGTGTGATAGAGAAGTACCCCCATGCTTAAGGCAAAATCTATAAGATAGTGGTGAGACCTGCAATGCTATGGCGCAAAATGTTGGCCATTAAAGATAAGCATATAATTAAGTTAAGGGGTCATTTGGTTTCCTAAAAAAGGAATGCAATGTAAAAGGAATATTGTAGAGTTGTTTGGATGAGTGTAAAATGAATGCATGAGATTGCCTTTTTTTGTATGAAGTAAAATGAATGTAATGTAAAATGCAAAAATTGTAGCAGTCGGTGGCCGACATTGGCAGCGATGTGGTGCTCGGCTGCCGGCGGTGGTGGCTGACAACGGTCTGCAGGCGGCGATGGTGGCCTGCGACTATAGGCAGGTTGTGGCGGGGCGGCAAGCAACTATGGTGGTCGTTGACTGCCAGCTGGCAGCAATGATGGCCAGCTGCAGGCACCCGAGCTGTGTTGGTGGTGACGGTCGGCGGGGTTGTGGTGGTCGACGACTGGTGGCGGGGATGGCAGGCGATCGGGCGGCAACAATTGGAATGAATTTTCGGTATATTTAGAACTCACCCAAATACGAGGAATTCCAATTGCATAAAAAATGAATTAGAGGGTGAATTCCAAATACATTAAAATTTTACACTGTATTTGTTTTACTTCAAATCAAACACCAATATTTTCAAAACCCCTGCATTTGGAATTATTTACACCTTTTTTGCAAGCAACCAAATAGTCCCTAAGTGTTGTAGACATGAGCACAGTCAAGTGGATGAGTGGCTTTACTCTTAAAGACAGAATGCGAATCGAGTATATACGTGAAATGTATTGAGTATATCCAGCGGTAAATAAGATTAGAGAGTCACCTTAGATGGCTTTGTCACATAAAATATCGGTCTTATGACGACTCAATTATGATAGTAAATGTATTAGATCTGGCCTATATTAAGAAATATTGGATAGACCTAAAAAGATTTGATTCGAAAGTGCTAGCAGTGAGTTTTTTGTTAGATTTAAATGAGAATTTGACTCATAATTAGGACGCAATGGAGAAAAAAGATTCATGCGTCCGACCCCACGTGGTGGGATAATTGCTTCTTGTTGTTGTTTTATTACCATTGATTTAAGTTTCACAAAATTAGGCATAGACTTAAGATTTTACTAATCTTGTAAAACAAATTGAAGTAGAAATTGTCTAGTGAGCAGTTTTGAAATGTTGGCAAAGCTGTTGAATCTTCGCTCTACTATTAAGTCAGCAACTTAACTGTTGTTGATATTAGCAAATTTTGAACAGAAAAATTGGACTAGATTAATAAGAATTTGATGTATCAGGTGGTGGTGTATGTGGAGTAGGGGGCAGTTAGGTGGTTCTGCACACTTTTAAAATGACCACAAAAATTGTTCCACCTTTACATTTATTTAATGAGCACGAGGGAACCCTCCAACTGTAAACTCGAAAAGAGTAGGAACGATGCCTGGAAGCAAATTACTTTTCCTTAACTGTTGCGTCATTTGACGGTTAGCTTTCATTGTTACCATCAGTCATGACCATAGTTGGATAACATGACATGAGCACCAATATGTTGTCCTTTTTCCTTTCCAGTGGAAACATGTCATTTTTCATTTCAAGGAAAAAAAACATTTCACGGGAACAAGTCCTTTTTCAGCTTAAGATAGGGAAGTAGATTAAAAAATGTTTACTATTCACAAAGACTAAAATAAAGAAATAAATAAACAAATGCAATGATGAAAAAAGATTGGCCTATACTTTCTCGTAATTCTTCTAAATGAACATTCAAAGCACTCTGTCACCCCCGCTTGGGTTATAAGCTCTCGCCACAAAGTATTGGGCTATACTTAACCATTCGGAAGAATTTGGATAAGTTTGGAGGTACTTTGTTTGTATAGTATAAACAAGTTATAGTGCTCACTGGTAACTTTTCTTTTCTAGTTTCTTATAAATTGTCGTTTCTGATCATACAGGCCCATGTAGAAGCGGACACCTTCTTTTGTTTTGTGGAGTTATTGAGTGGATTTAGGGATAATTTTTGCAAGCAACTTGATAACAGCGTTGTTGGCATTCGTTCTACCATTACAAAATTATCGCTACTTTTAAAGAAGCACGATGAAGAGCTTTGGCGTCATCTGGACGTTACCACAAAAGTAAGATAAATTTTTTGAAATTACCAAGTTTTGAAAATTATGATTACAGAACGCTACTCTTGCTTCAGACTTTATGAGTGGTACTTGTATTCCTCATCCATACCATGCCCTATAATTTGTTGTCCAAATTGTGTTTTTTCTTCTTGTATATTTTAGTCATCCTTCCAATGGTGCTGTTTCAATGTTTTTTTCTCTTGGCATTCATTTCCAGACATATACGTGTATGAATAATGCTTCACTCTCCAAAGGAATTAGCATGCAAAATGAGATTTTCATGACTCCCATGGCCACAACTCACGTTGATTTGTTTGGGAGACTGAGTCTTAATAAAATTTGGAAGTGGGCACAGAATAAATAAAATCCAATTTTATGTGTGCACGTCTTTAGGGAGTGAAGCATTGCATTATGTTTATTAATGTAAAATCTCACCATGCAACTCTCATGCATGTGTTCGGCTGTCTTATAACTTATGTTAAGAAGTTAAATAACAATTGTTTGATTTCAGTTTTGGCTATTTATCAAACTGTTTCTGTTAAGTGTTGTTTTTATAATGGTTTTAAGTTTTTTCCTGGTATGTTGACTTGAATTTTTTACCTCTATGTCGTCTACTTACATAGTGGTAAATACATGTTTTTACTGCTTTTTCAAAGTTTTAGCTTGATCATGGGCAAAGCAATTATTGATAGCTTATGCAAAACTGTAAATCAGGATTGTAAATATGAACAGACATTGGGAAAGTTGACTTGTGTATATCCATATACACAAATTAAACAATTTTGGCATACAAGAATGATTGATTTGAGCAGAACAGTAAATATAGAATATTCTATATTCTGTGGTAGCAATAGATATCAGACATTGGTCGCGCGTGCATCTAACAAACCGATCTTTTTTGTCTCCTTGTGTCATTTTTACAACTATGATGAATGGGTTTTATTCTTAAACAGAGAGGGAGTAGCAGAAATATTGAACTTGAGTATATTTTCTTTTCCTTTCTTTTTTATATTTGAGAAGAAAAATATTGTATAACAGAAGAACCGAGAAGATAGGAGATGAAGGGAGTTGAGGATATGCGAATGAACTGCTAAAAGGCTGGAAGGCAAGCATGAGATAGAGAAGAAGAAAGCAAAAGGAAACTCTAGAAGATAGAATTGATCTCTGGATGGGTAGCCAAAAAAAAAAGTTTTCTTTATTCCATCTTCAACTCTTACTTGATTATTGCCTTCATATTTATAGAAATAAGCCTTATTAAAAATGGTGTAACGACCCTTAGACTAGAAAATGACAAATGAAAGGCACTTAAACAACTGACAGTTTACTTCAAAAAAAATTCTTGGAAGGATTTGAACCCTTGATCTCTACTTCAGAGATCAAAGGCAATACTACTACTCAAACAAGTAGTTTATGATTAGAGAATTGAAATGTTGCTTGAGGAAGCATTGGAGGTCATAGACTGAATTTTAGAGAGTAAAATCATCCCAGAAAAAGAGAGATTGATGGAAAATATATTATGTTGATATGGTTAAAGGGAGGAATACCACTATCACCAACAATATTGATAAATGCCCATCTTTATCAATCATCAAGAACATTCCTACAACTCTTGAATGATATCTCGTGAAGTTTGGAACTCTTCATACATATTGTTAGATTGATGCAGCGTGCATTGTTAGTTTATTGATTTTTTTTTTAATTTGCAAACCGCTAAATGTGATGGTTGGATGAGCATCGCCAAAGGATGAATGATTAAAATTTGAAAATTGATAAAGTGTGGCATGACATGCTAATAATCATAAAATTTGATTGTTATATTATGTGGGCGACATAGCTTGTGATTGTGAGAGTGGGATGGCTGAATTTGCAAGTGGGCAACACAAGAATTGTATGGAAGTTAGAAATTATCATGATGTGGTTCACTAGTATATGGTGTGTTGTTTGTTAAATAATTAGCCATATTAGATGGGTTTACATTTAAGCAATGTAGAGATGCAATAAGGGTTTGAGCATATTGGTGGATAAAGATTCAAAAAGCAATTTAAAGGTTTGTGGGTTTCGGTTGAGTAGTTGCAAAAAGTCAAAATTGCAAAAGTTGTGTGTAAGGATTAAGTTTGTGAACGAATAAAGGGACACATTCAATGCATGATATAAGGAAGTTATGGATGTGTGAGTTGCGGGAGGAAAGAATGATCTTTTTGACATATTGTTGTAGTAGAAAACACCACAATGTGGGCATCAAATAGGGAAATTAGCTCGTGGGTAGAGAAACCCTTAGAGATGAAGAAGGTCATGATGTTGTATATGGAGGCGGTGGCGTAGGCGAGGTTTTACTTGATGAAGGGGGCGATGTAAGCAATGGATTAGGAGGTCTTGCGGCCAACATATGAGTTAAAAGGGAAATTTGAGCATATAAATGAGGTTTTGTGACAATGGCGAGGATGTTGGTTTAGTATACAAAGCTCAAATTTTGGATCTCGAGAGAGGCATTGACACAATTGATGTCATTAAAGGTGCGATTAGGGAGCAAGATTGATGTCAATGTCTCACTCAACCTTCATGCAATAAAGGAAGTGGAGAAGAGAGAGTTTATTTTTTTTTAATGATATTTAAGGGAGGAATTAGTGGTTCTCTATGAACTTGATGGCAATCAAGGGATCCAATAACAAAAACTATAAAGCTTATCTCACTCGTACTTGTCAATTGCGCAAAATAGCTCACGCTATGGCGCATGAAGCTGTGCGGCGCACCAATGACGCCATCTGTATTGCGCAGTGCAAAGTTTCAAAATGACTCATGCTATTTGCGTCATGTGCGCGCAATGGCGCATGGTACATGATGCAAATAGTGCTCGCAATTTTATTTAGGAATTTTTTAAATTTAATTATAAGATTGTTTAATAGTTATATATTTTAAATTTCTAAGTTAATGTAATAATTGAATTTAAAATTATTTGATATAATACAAATGGTTTAGTTAGGTTTTTATTAAACTTTATTTAGGTTTCATGTTGCCCTAACCCTTCAACACTCACGAAGGAAGAGAGGGCTTAACTGTTTTGTTGCTGTCGAACCCTTCGATTCGGTGTTCTCTTCTTCGTTTGCCTTTTTTTGCCGCCCTATTCTTCATTACGAGTCACAACTCACAACACCCTTTGTCGTCTCCTTCGATGAAGGCATCTGATAGGAAGTCACGAAGGAGGCTCGTCGTAAGGTAACGATCTCCGACACGCCTTCTTCATCCTTCGGTCATTTCTTCCTATGCCTGCTTCCATCGAATGTAACAAAAGTTCTCCTCATCATCACTAGTTCACGACTCACTCTTCCTGTCCGATAGGAAGTCACAACTCACAAAGGAGGTGGCCATAAGTAAATTCCTGTGTGTTCTCTTACTCCAACCTAAGGTAGCAAGCCATCTCTCCTATATTAATCCTTTATGCTCCACAAATTTTCTTTCAGCTTCAAAGATCCATCCATCAATTTTAATTTTTCATGTCTTCTCTTTCATATCTAATTTTATATATCAATTAGTGGTATCATTATACCTCTGTTCTTTTGCACTTCTAATGGCAAAAAAGTGTCTGAAAGTATGAAACCAACAAGTGACCTTCACCTTGTTGCATATCATTGTCTAGTTGGCGAAGGTCTTTCATATACGATTTATATAAAGCCTTCCTAATTGATGATTGCAGTTCCTTGCAAGTTGAACTTCTTCATGTTATAGAATCTAATTGTTTCTCACTTCATGTTATAGATCTGTGACTTCAGATTGGATCAAAGTGACACACACATAATCCATATATTTTTATGTGTTTCTTTATATTTAAGTTATTGTAATGTATATGCATCATGCTCAAAATGGCACGTGTTGTGCTTGCCGTACGCTATGCGCCATGGTTGTACGGCATACTTTGCTCCATGGTGCGCCATTCGCTGTTGACATGTATGAGAACAACTTTAAAATTAGTGGTGAATAAATAAGAAGCTTAATTTAAGGACCTTTGATGTAAAAGTCATTCACATCAATCAAGAAGGCTAAGATCTTCAAAGATTGCTTGAATTTAAGATCGCTCCAATTCTCTAATTTGGCTTTGTCGAATTTTCATGTTTATAGAAGATATAAATTTTGTTATATTTTATTCCTGTTTTTATATATTCAGACAAGTTATCAATTGATGTTATAGAAATTTATTGACTTTTAAGATTTTTTCAAGCTTGTATAAACTTGAAAAAGGTCTATAAATAAGACCTTTTTTGTACTTTTGATTTCATTAAATAAGAATATCTTTTGCTTTATGCAAGTTTTGTGTGAAAAGTTTTGGTCTATTCTACTCCTTAGTGAAGCTTGGTAGTTGATCTTCTAGGACTTTAGTGAGTCTTTAATTATCTTTTTCTCCTATTACACTTCTCTTCCAGCACTATTTCCATCTTTTCCACGTAAGGTTCAATTAGCCCTAAATCACAGCCTATCTCAACCCCAAGACACCACCCAACTCTTTCAAAACTGTTCTACACATTTCTCCACAACCTCAAGAAAACTTAGTCTTTCAAAGCCTAAAAGTGGTAACCTCAAATCTATTTAAACCCCAATTATCCTTTTCTTCGCAGTCCTCATAACTCTTCTACCACCATCCCAAGGGGCCAATCAAATTGATGTTTTCACTATCGTAATCAAATAGACTCTACTTTAGGAAATTTTGCATCATGTAAAAGCGATGGAGAGGGGATGATATATTGTGAGAGAATGATTAACAAGAAGTTTTTGATCACCAAGTTCATATTATTGATTAAGAGGAAGTAGTTTTAGATCACCAAGTGCATATTAGACCACACGTTTATATGCTCATTCATTTAGACGATTGAAAAAGTTTGAACTTCTTTTTTAAACCTGTCATTGATGAACAAGCTTGAACATTGATCCACATGTTTATTTATATTCAATTTCGTTTATTTATATTCATGAACATATTCTTGAAATCTTGAACATTGATCGATATGAATTTTAGAGAATGCTTCTTTGATGATTATGTTGTTTATTTGATGATTTAGTTTGTGTAATTATATCAATTTTCTTATATACTATTTATAAATCATTTTATTTTTACTATTAGAATTATGATTAAATTATCGAGCAAATGATTAGATTGATACAACATCAACAGTAACATCAAGCCTTTATCCTATTATGTGGTGTTGACTTCATGAATCTTTTTTCTCCATTGTGTTCTGTTAGGAGTTAAATTCTCATTTAAATCTAATAAAGAAAGGTCATTTCTAATATTTTCTAACCAAATCTTCTTAGGTCTACATCTACCTTTCTTAACATAAGCCAAATCTAATACATGTACTCTCCTAACCGCGTCATCGGAAGGCTGCCGTTTTATGTGACCAAACCATCTATGCGACTCTAATCTTATTTGCCACTAGAGCTACTCCAACCTTTTCATGTATATGCTCGTTTCGTATCCTGTCTAAAAGTTAAGCCACTCATCCACCTAAGCATTCTCATTTATGAATATTATGTTTCTCTTTCAATAGCCAACATTATGTGCCATAAAGCATTGCACGTCTCACAACCATCTTATAGAATTTTCTTTAAGTTTGAGATGTACTTTTCTAACACACAACAAGCCCGATGCATTCCTCCATTTCAACCATCCAATTTGAATTCTACTAATAATATCCCCATCTATTTCACCATCATTATGGACAATAGACCCAAGATATCAAAAACATGTACCCTCATAAATGACTTGATCATCCAAAGTCACAATCCACTACTAGATCTATTACTACTACATTTATACTCCACGTATTTGGTTTTAGATATATTCAAACGAAACCCTTTAGACTCTAAGGTTGACCTCCATAATTCAAGTTTACCTTCAACTCCCTTTATAGTTTTATCAACAAGAAGTATATCATCAGCAAAAAGCATACACGAGGGTACATCCTCTTGCAAATGTCTAGTAAGGACATCCATGACTAAAGCAAAAAGATATGTGCTTAAGGATGATCCTTGATGTAATCCAACTAAAATAGGAAAATACTTGGTCAATCCACCTTGTGTTTGAACACATGTAATAACTTTTGCATATATGAACATAAGCATTATTAATCCCTTTCTTTTCTAGAACTCTTCATAGCACTTATCTTGGAACTTTATCATATGCTTCTCTAAATCAATAAATATCATATGTAGATCCTTCTTATCCTCTCTATACTTCTCCATCAAACCTCTCAATAAATGTATAGCTTCCATAGTAGACCTACCCGACATTAATCCAATTGATTTTGAGAAACATTATTATCACGATGTAGTCCATGCTCCATAACTCTCTCCCAAAGTTTTAAAGTATGACACATTAACTTAATTCCTCTATAATTCGCACAATCTTGTGCATCACCTTTATTCTTAAAAATAGGAATCAACACACTCATTATCCACTCATCTGGCATCTTTTTAGTATTCAAAATAACATTAAAAAGTTTAGTAAGTCAAGAAATTCCTTCATCTCCTGTATTGGAATATCATCAAGTCCAGCACTTTTCCACGCTTCATTTTCTTTAAAGCCCTCTCTAACTTCAGTTTTATTAACATGCCGATAAAAATAAATATCCTCTTTTAATAAAGAACTTTTTGATTTTCATCCTTGATCCTTTTCACTTGAACTAAATCTTTACTTCTCTTATCTCTTTGTTTGGCTAACATACATATATCTTTCAGACTTCACCCTGCGTAGTATCTAATCTATTATATAAACAATTAAAAGTTAAAATATTTGCATTATATATTGTTTTGTTAGATTCCTTATAGGCCTCTTTATATTTTTCCCAAGTGTTAGAGTTTTTACATCTTAACTTATGTTTATAAGAAATCTTTTTTTTTTCTTTTTTTGCACATTTTGATTTCACCGCCAACTATTTTTACTATTTGGAGCTTTTACTTTTAATAATTAGATTAATAGATAAAAGAAAATTAAGTTTATTTTTTCTTAACATTTGAACTTAACAAAAAAGTTGAAGTAATATTGAGTGAATTAATGTCAATTTTGGTAAAAAATTATGAATATATTTATTTATAGTTTTAAGGCTATGTGTTTAGATTAATAAACTGCATATAATTAATTGAGCTAGATTAAATCTTTATTATGGCTCAAACTTGATAAGAAATTTAATAAGTTTATATAAATTAGTTTTAAAACTGAGGTCATCTTCAAATTTAATTTGAACTCTTTAAAAAAATAAATAAACGAATTTGATCTACTTGGCTCGGTTTATTTACAGTCATCTTTACCTGTCTCATTGCATTTGTGCCTCGGATGCTGCTGTTTTTCTTTTTTTGTTTTTTGTCCCCCTGTTTCTATCCTTGGATTCTAAATTTGTTTGCATTTCTGAATGCATTTAATTCCTAATCTGCTTTATGCAGGTCAATCCTCACTTCTATGCCTTCAGATGGATAACACTATTGCTGAGTCAAGAATTCGAATTTTCAGATTGCCTCAGCATATGGGACACTATATTAAGTGATCCCGAAGGTCCCCAGGTCTGAATACATATTTGAAGGGCACTGTTTCCTTACCTTGATCCTATTTAAATGTCTGTAAAATTTTACTGTGCCTCTGCAGGAAACCCTATTGAGGATATGCTGTGCCATGCTAATTCTAGTGCGACGGCGTCTCCTAGCAGGTGATTTCACTGCCAATCTCAAGCTGTTGCAACATTACCCCGCAACTAATATTGGGCATCTCCTCTATGTTGCTAACAAGCTGCGCGGCCCTGTGCCAGACTAAGTACCTTCCATTCCGTTGTGTTTAATTAGCTTGTAATTGTCATTTGAATATGTGCTATGTAAATGCTTTGTTGTATAAATTTTAAATTAGTGTTACCAGAGCTTTGGCTTTTGGCTGATTAGTATTTAGATGCCCAAGTCTGATACTGTGCATAGCACCAGTATTGATCCATTTATGGTTTTGTTTGGGACGGCTTTTTAGTACAAAAATTTAATTTTTTACTAAAAAGCAACTTTAAGAAGCAGTAAAAAAGCTGTCTCAAACGAAGCCTAATCGAGTATATCGACTACTAGGATGCTAAATATCCATTGCAGCTGAGTGATGGTGGCTGGCGGGGTTGAGAGACTTTGATTTGCTGTATTACAGGGAATTTTTAAAATTTTATTTCATTAATCTCATCGAATGACTTTACTTTGATGTAATATTGCTAGTGTTTGTTTTAATTCTCTATTTAGTCTTAACAACTTATTTTGTTTAGCAATGCTACAGTTCCCAAACAAAGACAGGCCAACCACTTCCTGCAAGTTCCCTCTGGTATGTTCAAATTACTGCGCTGTGTTGATATGTTTGATATAATGACATAATCTTTTAGTTGTCTTTGTCGAATTCCTATTAACCCGCCTCATCTTATTTTGGTAAGTATTTCACAAAATACTATAAGCTCTCTGTCCGGAAAACCATTTTCTATTAGCAACAACTGAACAACAATGAACTATTGTAGACTTTCCTGCCAGTTTATAAGTATGTTTATAAGTTTAATGGAGAAACCATATAACCGTTATGGCTTGCATGTTTTTGTACAAGCTTTTGGAAGTTATTGGCGTTATTCTGTTATCATTTCTGGACTGAAATTTATGTATTTATTTGATGGAAAGTGAATGATTTCAAGCTTCTCCTTAATACAAGTGAGAGGTAAGTTTTTTTAGTGAGCTTGAAACTGGTTTACTTGCTGCATACATGATAACAAAATAACAAATTCAAAGAAGTTGGGTTAAATATTATATTTAGTGATTTTTAAGTATAGATTTCAATGTATACGTAATGAATATTAAAATAGAGTTCAGCTTGATCATCCAAACAAGAAATTTAAGCAGATTAATTTTAATGAAACTCACTTTTGCTGTTCAATACTAATCAATTTCTTACATAAAAACAATTTGAGATGTAGGCTAAGGCAGTTTATTCTATGGCAGCTTCTATTTGCAGCATACATGCTTTAGGTAAAGAGTTGAAGCTCAGTATTCCTTAAGACAAACCATTGCAGAGGATAATTTTCATTGTTACGGTTGTGTATTTATGCTTGAATGTTTTCCGTGGTAGATATAAGGCTTTGTTTGGAATTTTTATTGCGTCCTCCCATCTGACGTAGAGATACGGTATTTTTTTGTATTGCTCGGTATTGGTCTTCACATGATGATATTCCTCGTTATTATCAAATAATACGTAGCAATACCGAGCAAAAACTTAGTTTTTTGGCGGTGGGAGGACGTATCTCTACGTCTGGTGGGAGGACGCAATAAAAATTCCTTTATTTAGGATAGCTTTCTTTTTATTTTTTAAATTAAAATTTTTAGTATAAAAATTTTAATACTAAAAAGCTGCCTTAAACACTACTAAAGGTAAACATTCGTGTCTAAAAAACGAAATGACTGTCATGATCAGATTGATATCAAAAAGACAATTTTAATGGCATCTCTATCTGCAAGGTGTTGTGGTGTGCAGTGAGAGAAATAGTGCCATGTGAGAAACACCGCATCCATAATTTTAAAGTTTAGCGTTAGTCTTTTGTTCTATAATTTCTCATTTGCATTTACGACTTGAATTCAAACATAAGTTTTGTATGCAATATTATCAAGTTGGGAATCTCTTCCACCTGTTCCCTAAGTTAAACAAAGCAAATTCATTATTATTATTATTTTTCTTTCTTAGGGGCTGTTTGATCGGTTAAAAAAAGGAATATAATGTGAAAGAAATTTGTTTGTTTGGATGAGTGTAAAGTAAATTCATGTAAATGATTTTTGTTTTGTTTGGTTTGAAATAAAATGAATGTAATGTAAAATTTAAAATAATGGTCAGCGACAGGTGCATACAACGACGGCGGTGGTCGGCAAGTGGCTAGGGGGTGGTGCCCCGTGGCATGTGGAGGTGGCCACCTTGATTAATGTTTTATTTGGGAATTTTTTTTTGCTACTTTTTTAAATAGTTTTTTAGTATATAGTTTTTAATTGAAAATTATCTAAAAAAGCTATTTTAGAAAGTAGTAAAAAAGCTTTCTCAAATGAAATTTTGGGACAACTTTATTATTTCTTGAATCAGCTTTTTAGTATAAAAATTAAAATTTTTGTATTAGAAAATTACTTCAAAAAACAATAAAAAAATCGTTCCAAACAAAGCCTTAAACTAACCAGCCTCTAAGAATAATATTGAGTGTTTCTAATTGATGATAGCAATTTAATTACAAACTTCACGAGTACAATGAACTTTTCTAATCTTTTTTCTTTCCATAGTATTTGGTCATTTGACGCAATGGAGAAGCATAATTCTTATAGGATTTGTTATTGTTGTTTTCATCGTCTAATGTTTGATCGTTTAATCATGAAATGCATCTTTATTAAGCCATATTGCACGCACATGCGATGACTCGATGTGGATGTGAATTAAAAAAAAAATACTAAAAAAGTTGTTTCAAATGAAGACTCTCTTCTCCATCAGACTATGTATGAAACTGTCATTGAGTTAAATTGCTAATGATTAAGCTAAATAAGAATTAATTTGGGACAATTTTCTTACTATCTAAAGCAGTTTTTTTAATATAAAATTATTTTCAACAAAAATTTTATATTAAAAAAATATTTTAGAAAGTAATAAAAAAAGATGACATAAATAAAGCCTAAATATTCATATTTCTAATTGTCTTAAATACAGTACATATTATGATACATAACTAAAAAATCGTTTAACATTTTGTGCCTGCATGTAATAAAATTAGAACATCGTAATAAATATGATGTATATGGTAAGAATATGTTATTTGATTTAAATAATAAAAAAAAAAGTTCTTTGAATTAATATCAGGATATGAGCTTACAGAATTTGCACTGCAGTTAATGTTAAAAATAGTCATGCGCTTCCAAAAAATTGGGTCAAACATTATGACCTAATTTTGATTATAATGAATTTCACAATTTTATAATTATGAAAAAAAAAAAGAAAAAAAAATTTTTTTTAATTATGAATTTCATTGATAAATAAAATATATAACAAAATGAATTAATATCTATATTCACTCATTAATCTAGATAGTATACAATTTACATCTAAAATTACATTAGAATATACCAATCAAACTTTATTTCACAGGCACAGTTGCATTCAAATCCTCAAATCTTGCATAAAAATTGGGTCAATCTTTACAAAGAGTTTGAAAATTATTAAATTTATTTTAAGATTATTATAATACAAATACTTCATATTCAATACTAATTTCAAAATAAATTGAAAAAAAATTAAGCCAATCTTAATATGATTCATATCATAATATGTAGATATGACTCTTTTCCCCTAATATTTACTATTATTAGCACAAAGAACAAAGTGACCAGAGAAAACCGAAAGAGGTCATACAATTAGCTTTAGCGCATTACATAATTATTGGCAATGGCCATTGGAATCCAACACGGCTATGGGAAATTAATAGGCTTCGTTTGAGATGACTTTCTTACTGTTTTTTAAAGCAGCTTTTTAGTAAAATATTTTAATTTTTGTACTAAAAAGTCACTTTAAGAAGCAAGAAAAAAGCCGTCCCAAACAAAGCCTAAGTCTGATGAGAAACTTATTCTTTCTCATTTTAATCAGTTGTTAGCAAAAAATTTCCCATCTGATAATGCTCTAAAGTCGTTCAGCTTCCTTGGCAGCTTGTACAATTTCCAAAGCTTTAATAACGGCTGCATCACCACGCTTCAAAATGCTTTCAAGCAGTTCAATCTTTTCCAGCAGCAGGCTGGTACTTGAATTAGCGGAGAGAATCAGCTTATCTGCTTTCTCTAAAGCAGCACATAACTGCAGCATAAGCAACATAATTAATCAGTTTTGTTATGGTGCTTAGCTGGTTGGGCTTCATGATTTTCTATATTTTCAGACATAATATTATAAAGCTACTTAACAAGTCAATATCTTCAACTACTTGAAAAAAAAAAAAGTTCTTTTGAAAGGAAATTAAGTTGTTTTTTAAATCACTTAAAAATTACTTAAATTAAGATTTTATTTGGGACAATTTTTTTACTACTTTTCAAAGCAGTTTTTTTAGTATAAAATTTTAATGAATTAGAATTTTTTGTATTAAAAAACTGCTTTAGAAAGCTGACAACCTAAACGTCTCACCCTACAATCCAAGCCATTCCTCTGGTGAACACACTTTATTCATCCATAGTCGCCCTCCTCTCTCTCTCTCTCTCTTCAAGTTTTAGCCAAGTAGCCATCGTCATGGAGAAATCTCAAACACTGTCCAATTCCAGCCATCGATCACTGAAGAAATTGCTGAAGATCACCAATGGAAGATTGAAGGCACATGATCTCACTTCACAAACCCTCAAAATTCCAATCTCTGTCTTCTCTCAAAATAAAAACAATCTTCTTTGATATTTATATTTATTTTTATTTCATATCAAAACATTGAAAAAACAAAGACATAATAAATTTAAAACTAAAACTAAAAAGATAAAATAAAAAGCGATCTCAAACAGCCCCTAAACAATCAAAACATCAATAATAACAAACCAATAGACTCGCATGTTTCCCGTTTTAATCTGAGTTAGTGCTTTTAATGAAGTTGGGAACAAATAAAATCTTTAAGCAAAAAAAAAAACATTTATCTGACCTTTAATGTTGAAGAAGTCCATGAGTGGTCAGTCCCCGACAATGAATCAATCAACAAATCATAGTTTTCCTGAGACATGCAAAAGCAGAGGAATACTGAATCCCAAGTTTTCTATCAGGATTAAGGGTGATAACAAACTAAAACAATGTAAGTAAGAAATAGCGATGAAAAACAAGATCTACTGAAACGAATAGAAACAAATGAAATTGAAGAAGTTGAGTTTTTGCATGCAATGTATAATTATTCTCAGTTGATTTGATCAAATGTTCAAAGAAACATAGAGGTGAGCTAAAATGTTCAAAGGAAAATAGATCAAATGTTCAGTTGTTAACAATAGATAACTTATGAACGAACCTCCTTGTCAGCATATCTTAAAAAGATAAGTCGGGGTTTCTTTCCAAGAATAATCATTCAGGATAACTCTCTTCAAAGTAGCCCCTGTTAACATGCTACATGAATTAAATAGTTTCACGACAGGAGTCTTGAGTAAGGTCAATATGATCTAACATAACCAAATTTATCTCTGGCCCTACGGTGCTTATTTGTAACACCAACTCACTTGCACTGACACCATAAGGTTTGGACCATAACAACAGTTCAACACAGAAACAAACGAAGGAGTGAGATATTTTCTCTTTTTCCCTCTCACTTCCTCATCTATCTCCCTCTTTTTCTTCTCTCTATTCTCTGTTTAGGTGTTTCATTTTCAAAAAGAAATCCAAGCAGCTCACACTTCACCAAGCTACCCATATCTCAAGACACCAAAAAGTCAAAATCCCTCCACATAGGCATAGGCTTCGTTTGGGACGGTTTTCTTACTGCTTCTTAAAACAGTTTTCTAGTATAAAATTTTAAATTTTATACTAGAAAACTGTTTTAAGAAGCAGTAACGAAGCCATAGCCAAGCCAAAAAATCATGCTTTTAATTGGCTCCATTAGGTCCGTTGTTTGAATGTGATGAAAAGCTCTCCGAGTAACGCATGAAAAAGCCAAAAAAAAAAAAAACATTCTTTTAATTGGCTCCGTTAGGTCTGTTTGAATTTTGTGAAAATCCAACCAAGCAATCCATGACCGAGCCTAAAATCATGCATTTAATTGCTCCATTACATCAGTTATTAATTGGGCTCCAGGGATTAACAATCTCCCTTCTGGAGATCAATTTTGATATATTAACTTCTGGAAGTAAACTCTATTCAACACCTCTCAAATTAACTCCAAGGAACTTAACAGAGGTATTGCAAAGTCTTTGTTTCTCTGCTGGGACCGTCTTCGTAAACATGGAATGAGGTTCCCAGATCATTGTTATTTTGGTCAATAGGAAGACATCATTTTCCTACAAATCTCAAATAAATTGGTATTTATGCATAACATGCTTTGCCTGGGAATGAAATACTGCATTATTGACAAGATGTGTAACATTCGAACTATTACAAAAAGAATGTCCTCATAATATTCTTTTCCCAACTCTTTCAAGAAGCTCTTCAACTAAACCATATTCATGTCAATCTTACTAACTACAACACAGTGAGCATTTGCGGTAGATAACGTCAGCCATCTTTCGTATCTTTAAAATAGCACATATAATCCACTTTATTGTCACCCAATGTGCCTTTTGTTGATTTGGCATATATTTGCTTAAAGCTCTCACTGCGTGCACTATATATCAAGTCTAGTGCACATCATAGCATGCAATAGTAAACCAATTATAAAATTAAGAAATTTATGATCATACGTTCTATATCTTAATTAGTTAGAATCAGTGAATTGGATGTAGTTTTGTTGACCCCCACAGTTCATATCCTGATCGATCCATGTTTTAAATAAGATGGCTAGATCTAAATAATTTAGACTAAATAAAACTATAAAAACTTATATACTCTAAGTCCTAACCTATAACTCTTCAAAATCCCAAGTATATTAAGCTACTAACTTGAAAACACAATGAATTGATTCACGTCACAAATAATCATAATAAAAAACTTCATCCCTAAACTTAAAAAAATACATTAGTGTTCATATATAATGATGAAGAATAAAAGACAAAATTAAGCTCTCGATATAAAAAATTAATCTTCCATTAGCTTTCATATTTACAGCCATTTATGTCATTTAAGTCATATTTAAATAATTTTAATATTTAGTTAATCATCTTATTCAACCCTCATCTCAACCTGGTTGAACCTTTGGGTTGAACCTTTGAACCTTGAACATTTCCTTCTTCTAATTATATATTTTATCCAATTTTCAAAACCTTGGCAATGTGATTAAAAGCTAATGCAATATCCAGTTTTCTTCTAGTGATGATGATATGAAGCTTTCATTAGGTAGGAGGTATAGATAAACCCCAGGGAACTCACAATATGGAACTTTCGATCTGTGATTCCATAGAGGCTTTCAATGCAAAAGATGATTTACGTATCAAACATATTAATCACGTGACAATTTGAAATTTTTGGGATGGTTACATATTAATCACAAAAGAATTTTTTAGCACCCCGCTGATTTGCAACCCGTAAGACTTCTTCTCTGTGCATCTTTCCTCTCTCTTACACGTAGCCTACAGTCTAATCAAGTAATTCTTGGTGTCTTCAGTTATGCTTGATCATTTGTTTAGTTTACTTCGCCGTTCATCCGATTAGACTTTGAAGATGCGTTTACTTATCAATTTATTCTCATAATTGGAATTGGGCTAGTTTTAGTTTAATAAACCTATAGCTACACCGCTACAATAGTTTAAAGCAAAAGATGATCCGAACATGAATCCAAGTGTCATCGAAATATCTACATCGTTTATATATATTCTAGGAAGCCAAGCACCATCTGCAATGTTACTCCACTCATTCCATTCCATGCTGGGGAAAAGACTGAAAGAGTAGGTTGAAACAAGGTATGCAGGGATAGGGATAATTGCTAAACCAGTGTTTGGAGAAACGAAGTAGACAGTTGCGACTTGCGAGGGTTACCTGAAAGAGCTGCTGAAGATCATAGGGCGAGAGGGAATCAACGGAAGCCGCGATTGGGGGTGAAGGAGGAGGACTCTGCCGACGCTCAATGTCGACGCCACCATCGTCGGCGACGTCGCTGAGCAGATCGCCGATACAGAGCAGCGGGCCACCAACGCCGCTCATCTCACGCCCACTTTCTTTGTCTTTCGGCATTTTCACGTTACACGGCTCAATGCCTCAATCTGTAAAATCGGATTTACTAAAAATTTATATGAATTAAATTTTATTTTATATGTTTTGTGTTCAATGTAATTAAATTCATTTTAATTTCTTTAACTATCTATTTGAATATTTAAAAATTAATATTATTGAAATATTCTGTTAAATTATTTCATATAATTATATATCTCAACTAAAAATTGATTAATCATTTAAAACTAATTAAATAATAAGTTATATTTGAAAAACTTAGATAAAAATTGAACAATAATGTCATTAATTTAAGCAAATATTAATTATTAATCTTAAATTAACAGTATTAAGTATTTACACACATATATATTAATTAAACTATAATTAGCTGAGATTAATATGTCAAATTATATTTAATTAGTGGTTTAGAAAACTAATTAGCAATAATAACTTTATTAAATTAAATCACAAATAATTATATTTGATTTAAAATAGTGTTTTTGGTTAATTAAAACTTATTATTAAGATCAATTTAAATTTTACATTAATGTATCTTTTTAAATTATTTTTAATTAATATATAATATTAAATACAATACCCTCATCTTTCTCCCCAAATGCTATCTTCCAATTTCTCAAAAACCCTCAATAACAAAGAAGTCAAAAAGTCTTAGTGGGAGCTTATTAAAGAATACATCGATGAGAGCAATTGCAAGTGAAGAGAAGAGTTCGTGAGACTTACATATGTGTTAAATCCGCCTAATGCTAAGACTTACTATATCTAAGATTTAAGGAAAAATATTGGAGAAAATGGGATTTAAAGTGATTATTTGTATTTAGCTGCTATGATTTAACTTAAATCCTATTACTCAACAACTTCTTGAAGTCACCTATTGGTTTTAGTAGGATCGACATATTTGCATATGCTACATGCCTGTGATACATACATTTGCATATACTATATCTTGATATTGTGGTTAGAATCAAAGCACCTAATCATTAGGCCTAGGCGTACTGTGTAAAAAATGCATCCTAAAAATCACTCAAATTCATTGAAAAAAATAAATAAATTTGACTATGCATGCCTCATAATATAGGTGATTAGCTAAATGTCCTTGTTGTTTATTCAAATTGATATAACACAACAAAATATTATTTTGATATCATAGTGTTCATAATAGTTATAATACAATAAATTATGACTTTGATATAACACAACAAAATATTATTTTGATACATATTTAATGAATTTTATTGTAATTCATCATATGATTTATGATGCAATCGTGAACCATTCTAACATATAACGAATTATATTCCAATAAGATCGCACATAGCATAAACATATGATGAAACCGTTCCCCTCAATTCCCCCTTGAGGTTATTTCACAAATGTCATAAATAATATTTCTAAATTAATGTGAACCAAGCTAAAATGTCTAAACGAAATTATACATAGGTCCCTTTAAAGATGAACATACTCGACTAAATCATATAACATTATGAGGAATCACACTTATGACTCGTTATACTCAAACTCAAACACTACAAATGTTCATGAGAATAAATCATTATTCACATGATGCCAACAATAATATACCTATGTACTTTCAAAGTCGAAACATGTTGTATGAAAGACACGCCATTCAAAATTTCAAGCCATATATGTATGATTTGAAACCCCAAATCAACTTCTTGAAATACACATTTGAACTTACTTCTATTTTGTAAACATAGCTAAACAATGAGTAACATATGACAAGCATGAACAAAAAAAAAAACTACTGAAAGGAATCCTCATAGTTATCAAATATTATTTTGGTAGACATTTGACATCCTTCACATGGTTTGTTGTAAGAAATTTTAATATTAAATTTTGCTTCATGTGTCTTACATTTTATTTATGTTTCACATCAAATTGTGTTGGTGAATCATTGTGAAACAATATAATGACATATGAACTTTTATGTGCATTTTGGATGATTAATATACATTATATTATGAGCAAGCGTATGTGAACTACTGAAGCTTGGGATCCTCCAAGCCATACATAAACACCATTAGACTGGATCATAGATGCATCTAATAGTAAATTACATGGAATTGAAGGATGACAGTTGTTAACCTCGCTTTTGTCATACTCAAGTTGGACTATTACATACATATATTAATTGATTTCGAGTCTTCCGGTTCGATCGTTGTGGTACCTATACACCGAATTAATGATTCGATAAGGCTTATCGGACCACTTTATTGTAATAATCCATATTTTGGCTCAGTTAAATAATTTCTTTTAGTCATTATAAGTCAAATTTTCAAATAGTCTTGGTCATAATATAGATATTAGCGCATTTTAATTATAATATTTTTTTCTCTAATTTTAGGGGCAGCATAGAAAATTGATACATATCTGTACAAGTGTGATTTTTGAGAGTGCATGTGTCTATTTTGCAAACCGATTTAGGCAAAGTTTTCTAAACATGATAAGTTATTTTATATAAATTTTTTTTTTTAAATTTTTAAAGCCCCATATTTGAAGATATGAAAGGATTTATATGGATTTTATTCTAAAATATAAATAATTGGCTTAAGTTCTATCAATCATATACCAATAGCTACAAAATAATATATATAGCATCTTATTATGTCGGTACCTATCATTGTCATATGCTTGTCATGTAATATCTATGTTATGCATGTATATTATGTAAATACAAAAATACAAAAGTATCAGGTGAAAATTTAATATGTTTCAGTTAAAATGCTCATATTGACGACATCTATCACATACAAAAAATTATACGATAAAGTTTGCTAAAGATCAAGATATGCAACTTTTGTAAGTTTTTACCAAATTAAAATATATAAAATATGTAAAATTATTGAAATCAAAGATAAGATAATGTTACTTTACTTTGAGAACAAATAACTTTTCCAATATGATCGATTAATAAAATCGACTATACAACCCACAAACCCTAAGTTTTATTTTCTCTCTCCTGTATTTTTCTCCTCTTTTTCCTCTTTTCATTCTTTGTTAAACAAATTTGGGATGGAAATGATATATGAAATGTTCTATTGTGAGATAGGATATTTAAGAATTCAATTTATAAGGGTAAACACGTAATTAAGTCAATTGTTTAGATTTTAGCATAAAGTTTATATAAATTTATTTATATCTTCAAATCCGTTAATTTATTTTCTTCTCAAATATTTTTTTTTAATTGAGAAAATACAAATAATCAAACGCAAATCTGAATTGAATCCTTCGTCGCTGATGGCTTGACACGTCACCTATTTAAATGTGTATGTATTTAAAAATATTACATCAATAAAATTTCAACAATTGTTCATCAAATGTGAAAACAAATAGCATTACAAATACTTTACTAAATAAATATTAAACAACCATGTCATCATCTCCTTCTCCGGATGATTACTGAATTTGATTTATGTTACAAAAAAAAAATTTAAACAAATATTTCAGGTTTTTTGTATTAAAATATTTGAAAATTCATATTTACAAAAAAACAGTTCCCATATTCATTATACCTGTTCTAATTGCATAGTTCAAATGCAATTTTCTCTCTCAGTTCAATCATTTCATTCACCCCCTCGTCATCACCAAACTCTACATCGGCATATAACACATTACTTTCTTCAATTTGCTCTCCTACTCTGCATTGATATGCCTCTGGATGAATAAAATTTTCATCAACGTCACAGTCTATGAAATCTGGATCATTTCGTGATATATGTCGTCGAATATAATTATGTAAGCCCATGGTACCAACAACAATAAGACGTTGCTTCTTAAAACTATAATTAGGCATATCTCTTAATATTCCCCATTTCTTTTTCCATACACTAAAGGAACGTTCAATTACACTTCTTAGTGAGGAATGTCTACTATTAAAAAGCTCCTTATGTCCCATAATAGTTCTACTACCTCTTCTAAAATCAGGTAAGTGATATCTGGTTCCAATGTATGGCTTCAAATATCCCCTTTGTAGAGGGTAACCTGCATCAACTAAGTAAAACTTTCCTGTTCAAAAATTTGTTAATTAGTATACAATATAACCTAATCATTATAAAATTTAAAAATTTTATTCTATAAATTAGTATTACCTGGAGGTGGTGCAGGAAAATTATATTTCGGATCCATCACTGCATGTTTAAATATACGTGCATCATGTGCCGAACCCTCCTGCAATCTTTAAAGTATGGCATGTACCGTGTGTCATTAATTATTTTTTCAGGAATATCATGGAAAAATTTATCTACAGGCGGTGCAATAATCTCCATTGATAATCGAACTAATGCTTGCAGACCATTATAAAAAAAACCTACTAATCATCTCTGTAGAGTGCTGAAAGCGTTCACATGTTGATCTAATACTCTCATTATGTCCCAAAATGTACAAAGTTATTGCAAGTACCTCTCGAGTAGTAGTTCTCCGAGTTCCATGTAAACCATATGATGATTCCAACAAAGAAACTAAGTCCATAAAAATAACTTGTGACATTCTCAAATTGAGAGTATAATAAAGGTTGCTTCATGTTGATCTAATACTCTCATTATGTCCCAAAATGTACAAAGTTATTGCAAGTACCTCTCGAGTAGTAGTTCTCCGAGTTCCATGTAAACCATATGATGATTCCAACAAAGAAACTAAGTCCATAAAAATAACTTGTGACATTCTCAAATTGAGAGTATAATAAAGGTTGCTTCTTTGACATTCAAGGAAAGAAAGTGTCTCCTAAGAACAAAAAAAAAAAAAAAAAGATTAAGCATCTGAAAGTCTAAGTCTGATGGTTATGAGAAAAATTAAGAACATAACATGTGGAACTACAAGAACAGAACATAAAACAACTAAAAACAATGACAACAACTACAAGAATAGAACATAAAACATGATGTAACTGTTGATTTCAATTTTGAAGAGATGGGGCTATTAGGTACTTGCTTATTCCTTCTTCTTCAATGGGCAGTTAAAAGAAACTTTTATCAAAACTCCTTCGAAGCCACCATAATCTTCTTTCCATGGGTATTCCCATGAATATCTCCCGGTTATCCTTATCTTTAAAGTATTCTAAGGCAAAGCCATATAACTCAAAATCATCAAATATATCATGAATTTAAGATATCTCTTCTAAAACCTCTAGGATAGTAAATGTTGTACGATTTTTATTTGATGTACTTATGGCAGAACTTATAGATTTTTCAGCATCCACGAGGTCCTCAACATGATTTAGAAAAAGTTTTCTAATACCCGACTTAGGAGTTCTAAATCTTTTCCTTTTACGCAATAATGTGGCACTCTGTTGTGATCTTTGTGTATCGTAGTTGCTTGTAGGCTCATTTATAGAAACATGTGAAAGATGTTTTTGTTCATCTTGAGTATACTCTTCTTCTTCATATGAGATTGCGTGATTGTCATTTAGTTCTGGGGGAAGTACACCAGAACTAGGAATCCAAATATTCTCCCAAGTTGCAACAATACAATGGAACATAAGATCCAACTTCTCTTCCAACTCTGGTGGTATTCTATTGAAACGAAACTTCTTAGCATTTGGCATTACCTAAAGTACAACAAATGATTAATTATGAATCATGCGTTATATTATGTAAGAGTTGGTTCGAATTTAGAGTATAAAGTGAATGATTCCAAATTTGAGAGATACCTGCAATTTTTCATTCTACCAATCATTAGAAGCATCAACAGTTTTTTTAATTGGATTACAACCAATTCCAGTCTCACCTCGCAACAAATCTTTCCATAGCTTCCAGTCTTTCTTTAATTGGTCCCACTTATTTTTAAGTTGGTTTCGGTCATAAGTTCGTCCAGTGCGTTCGTTGAAATTTTTAAGTAGATTTTTCCAACCTTCTTTAGTAAAATGCGTAGTTGGTCTATTCCCAAGTTCTATTTCTCTTATACATATATCACAATATATTAAAGTAGTATCTAAGTCCCATGATGCAGGTGCACATCCTTCTTTTTGATTTCCCATCTAGATGTTAAAAACATAGTAATATGTTAGTAATATACAAGACCTTATGTAATGTACATCCTTCTTTAAGCATGGTCTAAACAAAACAGCAAGACGCCATTCTTTTTTTAAAAAGGACTACTAATAAAGAGAAAAGAGTGAAATTAGATTGAATTATGCCTGATGATAACATATGAGAATCTTACTTTATTTTTTTTCATTAGAAAGTGAGGGGTAATGCTATGGCTTAGCAGTAATGGGTTAACAATTATGAAGTTGTAAAGAAGATTGTCATCATATTGGCATGGGGGACATTCAGTTAGCGGTTTGAAAAGCACATCAATAGGCAAATTAAAAGCATTGCCTGTTATGCTTGAAAGGAAGTTATTTTTAAGAAAAATCAGAGATAGCATTATGTGTCACAAAAACAATCTATAAGCATGAGCTAATGCTATTATAACTTGATTAAAAGACTATGCTACAATTAAAATAATCTCTTATAACTTACATTCAAATCAAATGTCATCAAAATCGCTATGATTCTTCGTATGTCTTTAATTATTTGTTATGTAAGAGGTGATTTGGGTACATTAGCAACAAGACTATAAAAAAAAAGAGGAATCATGAGGTAGATGAAGGAGAAGCATAAAAATCCTTAGGGCACAATGGTACCTTAAAAGTAATTGCAAATATGAAGGGAAGCGAGTCTGGTCTGCTTAGGAATTGTGTGAGCTTGGGATCGCAGCAGCTGTGAAGTTTGGTCAATGGTTGGGATGAGGTCGCCGATGCTAATACGGACTGGCGTCGAGACGGCTGAACAGATCGACGTAGGGATCGAGGATGCTGGCTACTGTGGTTGAGCAAGAGGTGTCGAGATGTTGAGCCCTAGCTTGCGAAATGGAGAGGAATCGGGAGTCCTGAGGGAAAAAGCTAAAAAAATAACGACATTTCTTTTGTCTTGCGATCTGCTGAAGAAGACGAAGGTAACGTGGGTCTCGACGTGAGAACGTGGAGGGTTATTTCGGACATTTGGGTAGCAAAACGGCGTCGTCTAAACGAATAAGCACTCGCTGAGAAAATTTTGTAACCACCCAAGAAACGTGGTTATATAAAAAGGAATTACGGTTAAATTATATTCCAAACAGTTTCGACGAACTGATTAAAGCTTATTCAAATGGAAACGGAGGAAATAATTCTAATCAAACAAGGACTTACATGTGTTAAATCTGCCTAATGCTAAGACTTGCTATATCTAAGATTTAATGAAAAATGTTGGAGAAAATGGAATTTAAAGTGATTGCTTGTATTTATTTTCTATGAATTAACTTAAATCCTATTACCTGACAACCCCTTGAAATCACCTCTTGGTTTTAGTAGGATCGATGTTGTGGTTAGAACCAATGTTACATAAATATGCTACATACATTTGCATATGTTATATCTTAAATTCAAGATATTGTGGTTAGAACCAATGCACCTAACCATTAGGCCCAGACATACTGTGTCAAAAATGCATCTTAAAAATCACTCAAATTTATTGAAAAAAATTAAAATTGACTCTGCATGCCTATAATATAGGTGATTAGCTAAATATCTTAGTTGTTTATTCAAATTGATATAACACAACCAAATATTATTTTGATATCATAGAGTGCTCAAAATATTTATAATACAATAAACTATGACTTTGATATAACCGAGTGCAATCACAACGATTATAACACAATAATTTATAACTTTGATACAACATGATATTATCATAATGCTATAACATAATAGAATTGAATGCATGTCGTCATTTACATAATTAAATGAGTGGATGAAAGGAATTCAACACAAATCATTCACATAACTAAATAAATAAACTAATTAACTAAATGTACATCATTTGACATGGATCTAATTTAATTATACAATTTTTTCTTTCAATCCATCTATAGACTTCTAAAAATACCTTATCTTCATAAAATAAATCTACACATGGAATATTTCTATAGAATGATGTATGGTTAAGTGTTACTATTAAAATATTTCAATTTGAAATTAGATAGGGAATGTTTTTTACAGTGCTATGCTCTTCATGTGCAATTAGATCTCACATATTATTTTATTGCAATTCATTAAGATCGAGCATAGCATCAACATATGTTGAAACTATTAATTCCCCTCAATTCCCCCTTGAAGTTCTCTCACAAATGTCATAAATAATATTTGTATACTACTTAGGTGAATATTTCTAAATAACGGTGAACCAAACTAAAATGTCTAAATGAAATTATACATAAGTCCCTTTAAAGATGAACATGCTTGACTAAATCATGTAACATTATGAGGAATCATATTTATGACTCGTTAAACTCAAACTCAAACACTACAAATGCTCAGGAGAATAAACCATTATTCACATTATGCCAACAATAATGTACATATGTACTTTCAAAGTCGAAACATGTTATATGAAATACATGCCATTCAAAATGTTCAGCCATATATGTATGGTTTGAAAGCCCGAATCATCTTCTTGAAATGTACATTTATATTAGCTTATATTTTGTAAACATTGCTAAATGATGAGTAACATATGGCAAGCATGAACCAAAAAACTTACTAAAAGGATTAGTCCTCATAATTATCAAATATTATTTTGATAGACATTTGTCATCCTTCACAAGATTTGATATAAGAAATTCTAATATTAAATTTTGCCTTCATCTTACATTTTATTTGTGTTTCACATTAAATTGTGCTAGTCAATCACTCAAACAATATAATGACATATGAACTTAGATGTGTAATTTGGATGATCAACATACATTCTATGATGAGTAAACGTGTGTGAACTACTCAAGCTTGGGATCCTCCAAGCCATACATAAACACTATTACACTAGCTCATAGATGCATCTAGTAGTAAATTACTTGGAATTGAAGGATGACTGTTGTTAACCTCGCTTTTGTCATACTCAAGCTGGACTATTACATACATATATTAATTGATTTCGAGTCTTCTGATTCGATCGTTGTGATACCTAAACACCAAATTAATGATTCGAGCTCAAGCTTCCCAAACCACTTTATTGTAATAATTCATATTTTGGCTCAGTTAAATAAATTTTTTTAGTCATTATAAGTCAAATTTTCAAACTGTCTTTGTCATAATATAGATATTAATGTATTTTAATTATAATAATTTTTCTCTAATTTTAGGGGTAGTGTAGAAAATTGATACATATATGCACAATTGTGATTTTTGAGATTGCAATGTGTTTATTTTGCAAACCGATTTAAGTAAAATTTTCTAAACATGATGAGTTATTTTATAAATATTTTAAATAATTTTTAAAGCACTATATTTGAAGATATGGAAGGATTTATATGGATTTTATTATAAAATATAAATAATTGGCATAAGTTCTATCAATCATATACCAATAGCTACAAAATAATTTATATAGCATCTTATTATGTCGGTACACCTATCATTATCATATGCTTGTCGTACAATATCTATGTTATGCATGTATATTATGTAAATACAAAAATATCAGGTGAAAATTTAATATAAATTAATGAAAATGTTCATATTGACGACTTCTATCACATACAAAAAATTATACGATAAAGTTTGCTAAAGATCAATATATGCATCTTTTGTAAGTTTTGACCAAATTAAAATATATAATATATAAAAATATGTAAAATTATTGAAATCAAAGATAAGATAATGGTACTTTACTTTAAGAACAAATAACTTTTTCAATATGGTCGATTAATGAAATCGACTGTACAATCCACAAACCCTAAGTTTTATTTTCTCTCTCCTCTATTTTTCTCCTCTTTTTCCTTTTTTTTTTTTTTCATTCTTTGTTAAACAAATTTGGGATGGAAATGATATATAAAATGTTCTATTGTGAGATAGGATATTTAAGGATTAAATATATAAGGGTAAACACATAATTAAGTCAATTGTTTAGATTTTAGCATAAATTTATTTTAATCTTCAAATCTGATGCTTTAAAAATTACAAAAAGAATATTCATAAAATAACCCATCATATTCAAAAAACTTTGATGACATATATCGGTTTGCAAAATGAATACCTAATGATCCATAAAATTATGATATGTGTCTATTTTCTACACTGTCTCTAAAATTAAGAGAACATTATCATAATTGAAGCACAATACTATCTAAATTATGACAAACACGATTTACAAATTTGACTTATAATAACTCCAAAAAATTTATTTAAGTAGGTCAAAATATGGGCTATTACAACCTCCTCACTTCAAATGTTGCCCTAAACATTTCTCACTACAAATCACTAATCATTGTTCACTTGATTATTGATTTCTAATCTTAAGACATACATTTGTATTGATGTTTATTGATCATATGATCTATTAATATTTTATTGATCGTTACATGTTTTTTACAATTATATGTTCATATTAATAGGGATTGAATGATTATATGTATATTGTTCATATTATCTTGCATTGATTTCAATTGTAGGTTTTGATAACCTACTGAGTTGTTATTTTACTTTGTGGCTTTACATATTTTAAAGAATGGGTCATAATCGAGTAGAGTGAGGATAGACCAAGAATTCAAGTAATTGATAGATTAAAGTAGAAAATTCTTCTAAAATTTGATCTTTGGGTGTTAAAATTATAGTCACGCATATCACCATTATTTTGCTCGATCATGTGTGTTTTTCCACTATCATGATCATGGTTCAATCATGCACAACGCTTCCCGATTAGGAAAAATTAACAATCCCACACATCTCCATAGTTTTTTGCTCGATCATATGTGTTTTTGCCAATGATCATGATCATGTTTCAGTCATACCCAATCATGGTCGTCGTTTGATCATGCACGTCTCCTCAGGATTGTGATTGTTGCTCGATCGCATGCATCTCTCCGTATTCATGATAGTTGCTCGATCGTGATCCTCGCTTGATTAGGCACATCTTGCCATGATAGCAATCGTCACTCGATCTTGTGAGTCTTCTCACTAGTCACTATTAGAATTTCTTTTGATTGCAAATCCCACCACAATTGCAATCTTAACACAATCAATTTGGATGGTGTCGGGTTGGCTCAAACAATTTCAAATTGACTCAATTTCTCAGTTACTTTTCTTTTTTTATATTTTAACGTATAGACACATTGTTATTGTATTTATCAAATTTTATTTAAGAGTTTGATTAAAAATGAGTTGAGGTAGTTGCAGTCGATAAAAATTCTTGAAATAATTAAAAAAAACTGATAAAATTAAAATTAAGATCTTGATTTTGGCGGGAACGGTTTTTTGCACGTTTCCTGCCTAACTTTAAAAGATCCAAAACCGCCACCCCATTTACAGAACGAACATTGTCTTTTCCTTCTCCGCCTGCGCTAACTGCAATAGTTTTCTCATTACTCGCTTCATCCGTTTCGGAGTGCATTTCCCTTCTGCAAATTTTGTTATCGGTAAAACTCACTCAATCTTTTAGCATTTTTTTTATTTCCTATCTCATTGATTTATGAAAAGAGAAAAGAGAAAGGTTTAGAAAGTTTGATGCCGTTTAAATTTTGACCAAATCTATGAACATTTGGATAGATTATCTGATTTATATAAAGCTTTTTTAGCTTTACTCACTATCAGATTTATTTCTATTGACTCCAGATTTATTTCTATTGACTCATTGAAATCTGTCTATATTAGTGATTTCTGATAAAATCTCCATGCTACAGTTCAATGTCTATTGAAATCCTTATGTTATAATTTGATATGCTAAAATCTTATAATGATGAGTTCCATATGTGCTGAAATTTTCACATCTTCCTATGAATTTACTATGAGTTTAGAATATTACGTTGCTGCTTCTTAAATCAATTTTCTAGTAAAAAATTAATTTTTTGTACCACAAACCTATTTTAAGAAACAATAAATTTTTGTACTAAAAACTGCTATAAGACGTAGTAAGAAAATCATCCCAAACAAAGTCTTAGGCTTCATTTGGAACAACTTTTTTATTGCTTCTTAAACAGAGTTTTAGAACAAAAATTTAGGATCCGTTTCGTTATTTTGAACCTTTTCTAAAAGTTTTTTTTTTTTTTGGAAAAACCTTTTCTAAAAGTTAGTTTTAAAACTGTTGTTTGAGAGAATGGAGTTTTCTAACAGAAAAGTTAATATATGAAAGTTTTTGAAAATAATACAAAAAAAACAAAGATATTTTGAACGTGGTTAAGAAAAAAAGTTTTATCAAATAAATAAATAAATATATATATATATATTTTTTTTTGTTTTGCTGTTGCCAGACGGAAGAAGCAGTAAACACGGACAAATAATCGAGCCCTTAAATTTTCTACTAAAATTCTGTTTTAAACAATAAAAATCAGTCCCAAATGAAGCCTTAGATGAATATTGAATATTATCAATTCCAGGCCTATCTTTCCTACTTACACTAATACCTTCCAAGTCAAACTCCTACGACTGTTTTTGTTATTCAATAGCGCTTTATATGAAAATGTGTAAGCTTTCATGATAACAGCAGAGGAGATCAATTATATATTTTATAAATGAATTGTGTAAGCTTTTATAGGCAGAGGTCTATCTCTTCAACTTGGCTGTTGTTCATCACCAACATAGGATCAATTAATTTGAGATATTATTCTTAATAAATATAGGCCAGGTACATTTGTAGATTTTTTGTTCTTTACATTTTTGTAGAGGTGGTCTTGCTTGGCAGTAAAAGTTCTTAATGTTATATTATTATTTTTCACATTAGTTTGTCTTTATTTATGCATGTGATTTGTTATGCTTGAAGTTTGAGTATTTTCAACTTGTGTTCACATATTCACATGTGATATAATTAGAAGCCTCATTTTATTTTGTTTATTTACTACTGATATTTATTGGAAAACTCTGGCATATCAAACATTAGAAATATAAAACAAATAAGTATTGACATTTTCTTATACATGATTTCTATCATTTTACATTAGGTTCGTCATCTGACATTGATTATGTGACACACTTTTGTCGAGACGAGTATACACCACTCACTCTTAGGTTAGGTTAATTAAGAGCATAGAACACACCTAGCTTATGAATCTAATGGGAGTGTTGATTGAGTGTGTTGAGCTCGTCACACTAGACATAGACAAGTAACTAAGATAATTACTTGGTCAACCTCTAGCCTTTGGTGACACCAACATGTCATGCCTTATTTATGGGTTTGCATATAATATAGGATCTACATCCCATGATAGAAAAACTAAATATAGACTTTACACACACTTAGGCACTTCTTCATCTAGCCAGTATAGAATGTGCCCATCTCCTCTTAGGAATGACGCACATTGTGCTACCAAACTTGGTTAGGTGAATCATCAGTCATTCCTTACCCAAGAAGGACAAAGTTCAAGCTATTACAATCTCTACAACATTTAGAAGATAGTTTTAGCCTTCTTGGTCACATGAGACCAAAATCTAAGTCCCGCTTTTGACATATTCTATGCCACATTAATAAGATGTATATGCTTGCTTGATGCCACAAAATCAAGTTGCAAGTCATATATTTTTTATCATTCTTTATCATTTCCTTTCTCAACATCCCTTCTACCACATTAAGTGAATACTCAGGGTTTCTGTCACTCTTTTGATGTCTTATCTACTACATCAAGAAGATATCTAAGCTTTCTTGGTCACCATTTGACCAAGATGTAAGTCATGTCTCAACATCTCCTCTACTCCATCGAGGAGATGTCTAGGCTTATTCATTTGTGCATGATTGACCTATAAGTTTTTCTCATTTGATGTCTCATCTATCATATTGAATGAATATTCAGGATTATACTCCTTGAAATCTTTGTATATGTGGCACCAATCCTCTATTGCAATGATGTAGGCATCTTTCGAAGCCCACAACAGTGTTTTAGAAACTCCGCCATTAGTCTTTTCTCATTTAAACCATGCTTTTGATATTTAGCATTGTTGATGATTGTGAATCCATTTAACAAAAAATATAGAATATCTTTGTTTAGGATATTATGCGTTTCATCTGTGATAATTTTTTTATGTTATAGTTATGTTAATCAACAACCATCACATAAGCCAATTTTTCACCCTCCTCCATTATGTGAATTACTCAAAGTCATTATTTGATGTCATTACTTCAACTATTTCAACATTGATTGAATGTTGCCTTACTAACTTATGATTTATCAATCCATCATTTATATTTGATTCACCATGATGTCATCAACATTCTCATCCTCATTTGAATTTTGACTGAGCTATTATCCATTGTCTTGACTATGCATTCGATGATGGAATGCCTTCTATTGATTTTATATCGATATTTATGTATGGCTGGTACTAATGTTGAGTTATATTAAATTGTGAGGGCATGATGCGTCACCATTCGATTCATAATGTTGCTCATAACAATCATCAACATAAGATTCCATCAATACTTTTTAATTAATTAAATTAGATAAATATTGAAAACAAGCGTTTATAATATAACTCTTTATATTGTAATACAATATTATCCAATTTTATGAATTGTACACCATTATAATTACTGAGTTAGGCTTCGTCTTAGACAATTTTCTTATTGCTTTTTAAAGCAGCTTTATAGTGTAAAATTTCTTTTCCAAAATCCAAAAAAAAATTTGAACTAAGAAATTGCTTTATAAGACAGTACGAAACCAAATGAAACTTTAAGACACTGAGGTTTTGTTTGGAACGACTTTTTTATTTCTTAAAATAGCTTTTTAGTACAAAATTTAAAATTTTTGTACTCCAAAGCTGTTTTAGGAAGCAATAAAAAAGCCGTCCCAAATGAAACCTGAAATTATTTGAACCATATCATACTACCTACATTTTTTTTCTTGAGTTTTTGCATTAAAAAATATGCATTTTTAGTGAATGTTATGTTTTACATATCTTCATGTGCATGTGAAATTTTTATTCATTCTTAAGACATTAAGATTCCATTCACTACAATAAATATTATAGCATACAACATAGTTATTTGTAAAATGCTATTATTTACGATTATTTTTTCTAGCATCCAAATTTTATATATTTACAAAATCATCACCCAATTATTTTTATTTACAATATTACCATCTAAATCTTAAAGTGCACCAAAAAATCATAACTTACAAATATAATTTAATTACATTCTCAATAATTTGATTGCATCACACGTAAATATATGAATTAATTATTATTTTAAAAAGGATTTATAAGTAAGAATAATTTACACACATTTTTTATATAGCCATTAGACATTTTTAGTTCACACTTTATTTATTTCACTACGGATGAAAAATAGCATCACAAATTTTATCATACTGTTGCGTCCTGAAATATTTGTGGCGATAGAGAGATAAAGTTTAGCGACCGAGCTTTATATGAAATTCCAACATAGAAATAGGTAGAAGAAATGGGTATATAAATCACAAGAGACTCCATAATTTTTATATGAAAAATCAAAAAAAAAAAGAGAAAAAATTCACATGGCCTGACCCAGTTAAAATGATGCTCATCCTTGAAGGATGGTGCTGGCTCAATGTAGCAAATATACATTGTATATAACATAGTATATAATAAGAGAATGACATAACAACAATTCTTAAAAGAATGTTGATATGTTTGTTTTATCAGTAGGATCGTAGTCGGCGGACGGTAGTGTCGGAGAAACAATAGTCGGTGGGTGATAGTGGTCAGAAGGACTGTAGTTGGTGGGCGACCGAGGTCAGAATGACCGTAGCCGGCAGACGACGGTGATAGGAGGGATCGTAATCGGTGGGTGACAGGAAGTCTCAAGGATCATAGTCGATAGGTGAGAGTGATCGAAAGACTATAGTTGGCTTGCGAAGGAGGTCGGGCAAAATTCTGGTGTCGATCGACAGTTAGGTAGAAGTCTGGTGGCAGTCGACGAAAGTTTTTCGGAGGTGGTGCCGGGGTGGAGATTCAACCTCAAAGCTCCCCCATGTTTCGTAAATATAGAGAAGATCGATGACATGTTAGGAGTGTTTCAATGAACGGTTCATATTGATCCCTTTGATTGTAGAGCTTTTATTAAGCATTAAGTGACCAAATGATGTCATAATTGAGTGATCTTGGGCTCGTTGAATTTTTCTCGTTGAGCCACTCGATTTGACTATAAGCATGTCATATTTGGGTGTCATTCAATCATCCAAGTAATGCTCCAAAGCTTCTAAAAATGCTTTGATCATTTGATTTGAACTCGTTTTGTCTCGGATTGGATTGATTTTGATGTTGTTGGGCTTGTCTCTCCGTGTTCTTCAATTTGACTATAAGTTTATTGAAATCAAAACTTGGATGGTTCCAATTTTAATTTTCGAAACATAAAACTTATATTTACATTGAGATTCTTGCCGGAACAAAATGAATTTTTGATGACATATCACATACAATTTTGATTAACTATTATGATTTTTTTAAAAATAAAAAAGTGCACCTTATTACCAAAAAAGAAAAAAAAAAGTAGAAGGTCCATAGGCTAGGAATTCGGCCGTTCCGCGAGGCCGAAGTCCAGACTCCAGAGTGAAGAGGAATTATTATCAAGGTTGGCATTGCGCTGACCCCGGTTGTCCAGAGACGCCCCTGCTTGCTGACTCACGTAGAAACCGAAAGTATCAAAGACCGGAGGCAGAACCTGGTTGCCCTTTTTCGTCTTCCTTCGTTTTGGATAAAAGGAAACGAAGGAAACGAAGGAAGCAGGAAGGAGCTTGCCCCATCTATTCGTGGCCTCCTTCTGAAATCAAGTTCTTATCGGGTAATTCATAATTTCAATCCGCGGTTCTAATTAATTTTTCTCAGGCTACTAGCTCTGCTTGTTATCGGTTTCTTAGTTTTCGATCTAGGGTTTCGGGCTGCTGAAGCCGGCGATTATAGCCTGATCTTATTTCTTTGGGTGCTACATAGTTTTTACTTTTGTGATTCTCTTTTTATTTATATGCATTGAGAGATTTTTCTGTGGAGATCCGACTAACTGGGTGTTGACATATCGGTTTGGTTGGCTGTTTAGAGCTTTGGCGTTGATCAACCCATGGTACTCTTGTAACGCCTTTTAGATGTTTTGAGTTATAGCTCTGTGTTTGTGATGGGTATTTTTCTGAGCTGCAGATTTGAATTTGATGATTTAAAACATGTCTTAGTTGGAAAAAAGCATGCTAGATTTTTCAGTGTTTTTTGGTGATGCAGATATGATATCTAATGTCAAGCTTTCTTTTTGTATTGTTCTCATGGCGTCCTATTTCCATATTTTCCTTTATGCGGGTTTGTTCATGTTTTTTTATTTTTTTGGCATCATCAATTTAGTTTTTCATGAATTAATAGCTTGCTTTGCGTTATTTCTTCGTGATTGCACACAAAGTTGGCTGATATTGATTGTGTTAATTGGATCTCTCCATGTTTTTTTGGCTAAAATTGTTATTAATGAAAGAATTCACCTATGTTATACTTTATGATGATCGCTTTACCTAATTTACCTGGGTTAGATTGACCAAGTCACACATGGGATCCAGGTTGGACGAGTTCAATCCAACTCATTATCTGATCCCTAGAGGACAATCCAAGATTAGCTCAGCTACTCGCCAAAAGAAGTCAGTGCTTGTGATAGATTATATTCAGCTGCGCACACTTACAAGCAACTGTAATTATTTCCATTCAATTATAGAAAAATCATACATTCAATATCATTCCTTTTGTAGCCTAGACCCACCCCTTCTAAATGGATTATCTCAAGGCCTAATATGAAAATATTTTAACCTATCTCTTTGTACCTCTTTTACAAGGTCCATTATGAAAGCTCTTTTACAGTAATTGCTATTGTTCTTTTCGGATGGTTTCATAGAAGCTTTGAGGATCATGTAAGGGGAATTTAATCTGATAGCATCCTAAATTAGTCCAACCAAATAATGCATTCCTCATCCTCAAGTAAGGCTTTCCCAAACTCACTGAGCAATGTTGTATGAAATATTCTTCTTGGTATAATGAGCGTGGAAATGGTGCGACCAAGAACTAAGGTCATGCTATTGATCAAAATTTAAGTCAAAGTCTCTACCCCTAGGGTGAGCAAGGTGACAACTTTGTCATTTATAACCTCTGTGACACATGGAGGAGTGCCTATCATTCATGCTCCAATATGTGGTCTAACAAGTTCATCAGCAATATGTGGCCAATTGAAGAGTTTTGTAAATTTCTAACTTGAGAAGCTTAGATATGGAAATAGATTTGAACTAAGATGGATTTGTCCTCAAACTCCCATGTATTCATAATTTCTCTTATATAGTCACGAGCAAACTCTTTTTTGTTTTTGTTGGATAGGATTGCAAATCATGTGTCGAGCCGAGTCGAGCCAAGTAGGGGATAGCTTGAGCTTTATATTGTTTTCCAAAATCTAACTTGAGCTCATTTTGAGTTTTTGTAGTAATGTTTAAGCTCAGTTCATTTAAAATTATGACTATTTGAGCTTCGTTTGAACTGGGTTTGTTAATTAATCAAACAAGCCTTATTGTGCCTATTAACGAGCAACAATATCAAGCAGCTTGTTAGTTATTTAAACATGCCTTATTTAACCTATTAATGAGCAACCGATTGAGCTTAAAAATGAGACTTTAATTGAATGATTTATTGAATAAACAAATATTTAATGAGCATAAACAAGTGGCTTTTGCTCAAGAACAAAATCAATCTGATATAGAAAAGAGCAAGACCTAACATAATCACATATTAAATGAATTTATCATCGAGTCATAAATGAGCATTTGTTGAGCCTTAATGAAGTTTATTAATATTATACAAGATTATAAACATATTGAACACCAAACTATTTAAGTTTCTTTTATTATTTGAGTATTTATAAAAGTTTTCAAGTTTGCTTAATTAGTCAATTAAATGATTATGAAGGAGCTCTAACAGAGCTGAGCTACGAGTAACTTGTTAATCGTGTTAGTTCATTTGTAAACCTATTTGGGGGTAAATAACACTCATGTGGTAGAGTGTATATTCATATTTATTTGTGACGTTATAAAAATACTTAAAAAGAATTCTAGTGTTGAATAATGGGTCAAAGTCTGATTGAACAGAATCAAACATTGAAGTTTAAACTGTGTTGCTCACCTTTGTGTAATCATTCTTTGTACCATTCTTCTAAAACAACTTCAATGTACCTACAACTTATTAATGATTCTAGCATGTTTAATATTGATCTCTGCCTGCATGACTGGAAATAAAATATTTCTTTTCATAAGTGTAATTAGCATTTGGAAGGAGTTCAAACAGTTTTCCCAAAACGGAAACAACATTGTAAAGTAAAAGGAGAATATTGCTGTGCGATAGGATATGTTGTATACTTTTGGTGTATAATTGAAATATCTTGCATTTTAAGGTATATCTGATGGTTTGTGGGGAAGCATATTGCGGAGATGACTGTTGCCATGAATTTCTTAGAGATGGCATTTTCTGAAGTGATTAAACATTGTACTTGAGAGATGGCTTAGTATGGTATATGAACCAGAATGTACCATTTCTATTCCATTCATGCATATTTGCACAAGTAACAGAATGAGTTGCGAAACATTACTTTGAACAGAATGCTGTTTGTGGTAATGCAATTTTACATATGGTATCATTTTAATTTAATGGCATTTACGTGAAAGTGGCTGCTTTATGGGTTGATGCTGGATTGAGCATTCTTGTTCAATTGAATTGGTGGTAGACTTGACTTTAATCAAAATCAACTATCCTTTTGGTGTTTTAAAACACCAACTGATTGGTTTTGAGCCTAGACTCTTTAAACATTCAAACCCTTGACCCCTCATACAATTTTAGTTTATTTTACCTTCTATTTCTTCATGCCAAAGGAATTTTTCCTAAATTGGTTTGCAATGTAACATAAGTGGACCTCCTTTTTTTATTGCAGTAACATGCCCAACATGCATGACTTCTGTTTTTCAAAATTTTCATTATCCTGCCACCTTCCCCACCTTCACCAATCCTCTCCGATACCTCTCTTAGAATCATATGATCATATTTTTTATTCTTAGCTAGATGATTTCTCATGTTTCTTGTATAATCCAAAATACCCAATCATTTTGAGCCTACCATTCTTGCTGATAGGGAGAGCTTCGATTGATACTAAAAAGGATAATTACATCTTATAATCCAAGAGGAACTAATTTTCAAAGTCTATGAGGCGATGGACAACAATCAAAGACAAGTTGCCTCTGCATAACTATAGAAAACATCAAATGCTTGCATAATCAAGTTGATTTTGTGATAGCAAGCTTCCAAACTAAGAATTTTGGATCATTTGAAGCATGATATGCTTAATTTCAAAGTTATTGGCTTGACGATCGCTCGCGGAATAGTATGAATAGTTAACAAAGTGTAATTTCTAAACTCCTGGATACTCATAGCAAGGAACGTTGTTGCTTATTCAGGATTAGCCATAGCTTTACTAGCTGTGTTATTAGCTCAATTTTGCCTCCTTAAATTTCTTCAAAGAGATTTCAGAGGGAATTAGGAAGATTTGTTTATGATTAATTTGGTTGTTTTATTTTCATTATGTGATTTGATGTTTTGGAGAAATTTTCTTTGGAGTTGTTCCTAGTGAAGACTAGAGTTTGTGGAGAGTTAATTTACATCTTTAATAGTAGATTAACTTGTATATTGATTTGTTATGCTGGTATTAATAAAATTAGCCTACATTCTTTCTCGCTGATTTTTGTTGTTTTTTTTCGTTGTTATTGCTATTTTTTGGCTGTGTGGAGATCAGATTCCGATCAAATTGGTAATAGTGCATCTTTTTTGGGACCTATGTCAACTAAGAAGGTTGATGAGTTGGAGGTGAGGCTTGATGGGGAAGTTGGAAATCTGAAATATGAATTCAGATAGTGAATTTCAATAATTGAAGACAAATCAAATCTTGAAGAGATGATGAAAATGATGTTAGAGTTTCAAGCCAAGAAGTCATCATCGGAGGCAAGGGCACCGTTGATCGGACAAGGAAGTAGGGAAAATTCTAATATAGGGATGATGAGGGAGGATCAGGAGGTGAAAATTTTAGGGAAGAAAATGAAATGTCACCTTTCGAGTCATTTCAAAGGAGGGGAACAGGTAAAGGGTATGGACGACAAAGAAATTGGGATTGTGAAGATCAAAGAGCTTATTTGAGGGAGAGGGAAGCATGGAGGGATCACAGCACCCGCTACACTAGGGAAGGGAGAAGCAATTGAGGGTTTCTAGGGTGAGATAATTGAGGATGCCGGCTTTTTAGGGAGAAGATGCTCACGGGTGAATTTATCAGGTGGAGCGATATTTTGCTGTAAATGAGTTGACAAAAGATGAAAAACTCACCGCAACCACTCTATGTCTGGAGGGGAAGGCTTTGTCCTGGTACCAGTGGTGAGACTTGCGAGATTTGATCTGATCATCGAGGGAGTTCAAAGATTGTTTACTAGAAAGTTTCTTAATCAGTCAGGAAGGAAACTTTTATGAACAATTCTTTGCTTTGTTGTAGGAGGGGACGGTGATAGAGTACCGGGAGAAGTTCAAGTACTTCTCAGTTGGGAAGGTTGTTAGAGACTGTGCTATATGAGAACTTTATGAAGGGGCTCAAGCTTGATATTCGAGCAATTGTTCAATTACTGAGACCATGTGACTTAGGGGAGGCTATTGAGTTAGCTCAGTTGTTGGAGGATAAGAACTCCTTGGAGAGGAGTCCCCGCAGCAGCAGTTCAGGAGTCTCATACCGCACGACCTCTACATTTA